ATTTGATTTTATTGATTATCAAAACTTGTTTTTACTTAAAAATTTAATATTTGTTTTATATCAACTATAAATTTTGAAAATTATGTTTTGTAAGTAATAGCAATTAAACTATTAATTAATAAAAAAATAATTTAAGATAAAGATTTTGCTGTCATGCGATCGAATATATGATAATTTAATTCAAATTAAAATTTTTAGCAAATTTTGTAATTATTAAATATCAAAATTTAAAGATATTTTTTTACATTTGAAATGAATAATAACATAAAAAGCAGTATTAAATTATATTGAGAATATTTTTTATAGATTAATATTAATTAAATTGTGATCACTTTTAATATTGTAAAAACTAAGTTATAATTTTTAGTTAATACATTTAACCATGATATATTTTTTATTATATTTTATTCAGAGTCAAACAAGGTTTTGAATTTTAGGGGTTATATTAATTACTTTTTAAATTAACATTTATTTTATTTAGAKTAAAATTTTAAAAATAGATAATAATACAGTACMTTACCATACTCTACCATACTCTACCATACTCTACCATACCCTACCATACTCTACCATACTCTACCATACTCTACCATACTCTACCATACTCTACCATACTCTACCATACCCTACCATACTCTACCATACTCTACCATACTCTACCATACTCTACCATACCCTACCATACCCTACCATACTCTACCATACTCTACCATACTCTACCATACTCTACCATACTCTACCATACTCTACCATACTCTACCATACTCTACCATACTCTACCATACCTTACTATACAATGTTAATAATACGTATAATATTTAGAATTTAATGTATTACTGATGACAATATAAGTTATTAATAATAAGTTATTATAAATATACTGTACTGTATTTATAACATTAAAAGTATTTAATATAGCCTATAATAACTATAAAATACCTTAATATTAGTTTAAAGTTTAGTCTAATAACTATTTTTAATATATATTTAATAAATAAGTAAATGTTAAATAATAACCAATGTATTTATCCCATTGATATCAAATTACTTCTCAAATATCAATTGAATTGTTTGACACAAACAATAATCCATCAATTAATGCCAATCAATGATCGATTAGTTTAACTTTAATTACATTCCTCACAGCTTAAAATACATAACAAAAAGTATATAATTATAAGCAATAATCAGTGTTGGCAGAGACAAAGTGTATGTATAATACAAAGCGTATTATACAGTATAATACAATGTAAATTACATGACAATTTTGGCTTACAAAAAAAATTTAGCGCCACCTAGTAATAAAAATACTAAAATTTAATAATAATTATTTTTTATATTGAAAAAATTGAAATTAGCTTTCAATTTAATTCTGGTATTGAAATATATTAATAAAATAATTAATATTAATTTTAATAGTTTTAGAAAACAACGATTCTAATAACGATATTGAAATTATGTAATAATAATAATAATTTTAATAAAAAATAAATATTTTATCATTGTTAATGTAATTTTTCTATAATTGTAAAATACATCCAGTACATTGTATTTTACTGTATTTTACAAAGCCAAAATTGAAAACCTTGTATTTTTCCAACCCTGGCAATAATAATCATATAATAAAATTTTATAAATATTTCAATACTGTAACATCTAATCATGTTATTATTTGGATATTTTACTATTAATATAATATACTATATGTTTAACMAAAAAATGAATAATTTAATTTTAGATTTATTTTCATAATTTCAAATTTAGAAAAATATTATTAATAGTAACAAATTAATTGATAAAAATATTTTATATCAATTTATAAATATTAAAATATAATAATTACATGTTTATCATAATTTATCAACTATTCTATTAACAAAATTATACCAAGTATAGTAATTATTAAATATATATATTTTTCTCATTATATTTCAAAATATTTGAACTAAAAATTAAATTAAATATTAAATTTTTACTTTAATTGTATTAAATAAAAAAATAAAAATGTTATAGTAATTTGTAATCATTTTAAATATAAATATCAATTTTATTTTTGTATTAACATTTGAATAAATAATTTTTATTAATAAACTYGAATTGCATATCAATAAAGATTAATAAACAATTGAAATATACTTTACATAAATATCTTTATAAAAGAATTTATAATATATAAATATAATCACAACTTGAAATATAATTTATTTTAACCCAATTAAATATAATTTCATAAAACATTTTACAGCATAAAATAATCTTAAAATAGTTAACTAAAGTTAACAATGTTGTAGACGATGTGTAAAATATTGACAATTTAATAATATCTGTTCAAATAAAGCATTTAAATCAAATTTGTTTTTCCAGTAAACAATATAAACGTAAATTATTTTAAAGAAAATATTTTTATCAAATAAATATAGTAAATCAAACAAATTTAAATCTAAAAATATAGCTAAATAATAGACATTAACTATGATGTTTGTATATATTGGTAATCTTATATATTATACATTATTTTTTATCAATAATAAATAGATAATACATATTTAGATTTTACCTTTTGCTCAAAGACTAGACCTATACAACTGTTGAGTCATAAATTTGGTAAAATTATTTGGGATAAGACATTAAATTAGTTAAAATGTGTTAAAATATAAACTATTTTTATTTATATTGTCATTAATGTCCAACTTCTTCAAGTGAGGGTTTATGAGTCTTATAAAATTTGTCGATCTCGTCATCACTGCTATCATCAGAGAATTGACTGCTTTCCACAGTTTCTGGTGAATGGATACGCATGTGCTTCGCAAGCGGTGAACTACGACCGTTATGGGTAGGACTTGACGATGGACTGGGAACGGGTGAAAGAGCCCGCTTTAATCTATCTGTACTTGAGCTCCAAAAGTTATTCTAACAAATAAATGCAATTCAAGAAAAAATATTAATTTTATAAAATATTGTAAATAAAAAATACATACAATTCTTCCTTCGCGTCCAAACAATTCAAGAAAATTATGAATAAATTCTCGTGACTTGTCTTCCCACGTCTGTATCAAATCGTGTCGTTTTTCGTCAAGATTTTCCAGAAATGACTTTCCCTTATCTTTCAATGAATCCAATTTGTTCTGTAGTAGAAACTTCTTCTCCTTAAAAGATACAATAATATCTTTTAGATTAATTTCATTAATAATTAACTAAAAATAACATACATTTAGAAATGAAACATTCAATTCTTTAGCTGAGTAACCTCGGGCCAGATTGCGGCGGACATAGAGGTCATAATCGCGAACAATTCGTGACACCAAATCTGATGTTGAAATGCCTTCTGTTCTTTCAGTTATGTAAAACATTCCCTTCTCTTTGATGAATGTGTAGACATCATCGTAATCACTGGATGTATAAGGAATGTCATCGTGAGCCACAAAATCAATCTTCAGATATAAACAAATCACATCAATAGTATAACAGTTAATTAAATTAATGTCCAAACCTTATATTTCTCTAAGAATTCTTCATTGATAACCCACGGAGCGTCGCGAACCACTTCATCCACATATCGACAATGTCTGACCGCTTCATATCTTTCAGTTTCATTCATTACGGTCTTCCCTTTGTATTTATTTGTTAAATAATCGCTATTAACTGAAAAACAGTCAAAAATGTCATAAATTGTTGTCAACATAATCGGGTAATTGAATGCAAACCGCCAACAATAAGCCAGACGTTAGTAAAGGCACTCTTGGCCTGCAATAGTTGTCGGGCGTGTCCCGCGTGAAACATATCGTAAATGCCGTCCGCATAGACTCGGATGCGTCTCTTAGCCAAACCTTGTTTTGCTTCTTCTAACGTTATTTTGATACTATAGTCACAATCGGCCAACTCTTGTAGCGCATCCTTATCATCGCTAAAAACGGATGGTTTCACCAGATTTGGTCGTTTCGGTTGTGAACAGCCGTCACAAAGCTTTGTCGATGAATTGCGTCGTTTTCGGTGTGACATCGCTGGACAAACAATCATCTGATCCAATGAGATAATTCAGATATCTTAAGACAAAACCGTCAAAATAGTGGACAAACAAACAAACAATCAATGCTTACAATAAAACTTGATTTCAATGGTGTGATCACTGATAGTGTGTCTAATCGTATAATAAATGCAAACAAGTGTTGACTTCAAACCAATTGCTGATAAACACATCAAATAGTGATTACAAGATTGTCATCCATTGGTCACAATGTCTTSAGTTAAACATTCATTAAATACACACCAATTGGTCAACAATTGTGTCACAAATATTACTATAAATTATACATTCATTCAATACTAATGGTATTAATTGAATCACCAGTTAATTCATATGATTTTTGAAAACATGAGTCAAATAAACAAATAATCAAAAATTAATCAAAACATCTGTTTTGTTGTTTTATATCGAAATTCATATCATTATATAATATACACTAAAATATATTATATTATATGACTCTGTATTGACATTCAATACATTGATTCAAACGGGAAGTAAAGCATTGCATACAAACCGATGACGTGTTGGACATCAAGTCATTGATAGCCAACACATATGTTATAACATAAATATTTGCATATTATTAGTAACCCTATTGTTTACCACTACTGTACATATATTGTACTATATGTTCATCTATTTAAAGGGTCATCTCTATTGTAACACTATATATGAATAAAACAATAGTTTTTTAAATCACATTTTTATTAATATTATTTTTATCAAATTTACGGTTATATTAATAAAATTTAATATATTTATAATTTAATTAATAATCAATTAATATAATTAATTTTAACTTTAATTATTATTTTATAATTTATTAATATCTAGAGATAAAACAATTAATTAAATACAATCAAAGTTATTATATTAATTAAATAATTGATATAAAAATAGAATAATTGAAATGTCCTTGATCAAAGTTTATATAATACTCTAGGRRTAAAATGTACTTTATTTTACTTGAATTAAAATATTTAGTGAAAATAAGGATATTATCAAAATTTTGCACATCATTACAAATTTATAAATGACTTAATTGTTTTTGCATTTATTTAACATTATATCATATGTTTCTATCTATAATTGATTATCAATAACTTGTGATTAGTATTTATTATATATATTATTATTATTATTATTATTATTATTATTATTATTATTATTACTCGTAACAAAAAAATGCATTCGATTTGGTTATTAATAATTAAAGAATAAAGAAAACATTATTACCTATAAAACTATTTAATAACTTTAAACAAAAAATTGAAAATAGTTTATAACTTTTTTTAATTTTATAATTATGTGATTTTTGAAGAAAATAATAAACTTATTTAAATCAAAATCATTTCAATACATTTATCTATATATATAAAAAAATAGTATATTTTTAACATATATGTAAATTATTAGTTAATAATTTGGTCCAAAAATATCAAATATTTAGTTTAGTTAAAATTAAATAATATAGCATATACCAAGATTGTAATTTGAAGATATGTTTACCATGGATTATGTTAAAAATAATTGTAAAATTTATAGAAGAATATTGATATTTTTTAAATATTATTTTTGATTAATTAAATATACAATACTATTATATATCATAAAATAATTTATTTTTATTTATGTTATAAAATATACTGTCAAATATTATACAGTAATTTGTATATCACTTATGAAAATTTGTAAATTTGTATTAATAGTATTAGACTAGTTTTCAAGTGATATTAAACCACTTAATAAGTTAACAAACTTAGTTATAAACATTTTTATTAACTTAGTTATCAATTTTAATTTTACACAATTTTTAACTTTAAATATTCAAATATTATTTAATTTTTAATTATATTAGTCTGTCGGTTTAGTTTTTACCGATATTTAAAATACGTTTTATTCGATAACCTTAAAGCATAGTTTATCCAGATATACTGCACCAGATTAACTAATCCATACAGATTTACGTAGCAATTAATAAATTTAATTAACAAAGTTATTTTAGAGATTATTGGCTTAAAACTGTAAAATGATAAAATATATATTTTTTAAATATAATTATATAATTGATGATGTAAAAATCTATATATATGAAAATGTTATGAGACAATATGGTGGCTATAAGTTGAGTAAGTTTTATGTTTTTAAATAAATTCCTTCGTTTTATATAATAATTTTTGAAAATACTAGGATGAAATTAGTTGATTTGATAAAGAGATAATTCGCTTTTAATTTCAAAAATTACAAATAACTACCATCTTATATTCAAATGTAAAAATTATGTTTATTTATATATTTTTAATAACAATTGTAACTATTTATATAAAAAAATTAGAGTTTTAGTCTTTAGAATTATTAGATTTTGTTTGCTAAACTTTATTGACGATCTGGTCTTTATATGTCTGTAAAATCATAAGCTTTAATATTATTTTTAATTTTTTTCAAATATCAGCTTCAAAAATCGTTAGGTTTTAGATAAGATAACAATATATTTTTTATATTTTAATATGCGTCAGGTAAACGTAAAAATATATTTAGTGTGCATATTTGATTTTAAGTGTTCTCATTTTAATGAAAAATTCTATTTGAATTACTATAGAAAAATTAAAATTAATTTTATATGGATATAGTTTAACAATCAATTTATATTTTAACATATGAAATTTTTGATAAAGAAAATATTAAATGATAGAAATAAAATGTTGAAATTTTTATATAAGTTACCGGTAATAACTAAACCGACAAGCTAATAGATATAATTTTTCTTATTTGTTTGCAAATAAATTTTAATTGAATTTTTTTAGTAATTATTTTATATTTTTGACATTTCTTTAGTAATTTTTGAGACCAAATAAAAACTTGTTGTTTTGTTTTTACTAATTAATTATACAATAGTTAATGCATTAGAAATTAATAATAAATATTATATAAAATGCGGTTTTATTTGATTTGAAAACATGATTATATAACTTATTTAAAGTTAAATTAAATTCAAAATATGATAAATAAGTATATTTTGAAAGTTTTCAGAAAAACTAAAAAATGACTTTTGGGTGGAGTTTAGGCATTCATTCAATGAAATGATTGTTTGAATCAATCAATCAATGGATGACTTAATTTAAACGCACTTTTGTTTACAAATTATGTTTGAAAACAAATATTATTATAATTTATTTAACGATTAATTAAATGAAGTGATGACTGATTTGAGTGACAATTAATTGAAGAGTATATCCATTGAATGAGTGGACAAAACAATTACAACTCTTGATATCTGTTTTGTGACACATTTTGATTGTAAATCTTGTCTTAAAGATGACTGACTCTAAGTTTATGTTATTAACCGTCGATGACGGCCGTCGACAACGGAATCAATTTCTTGTACGAGTTTTAATCGTATCGTTTGTTGTGATATTAGGTTTTGTGATCATAAGTTTGGTCATATCGAGTGACAGTCCGATCTTAAAGCGGCCAAAGTTTGTACACAACTGCTCCAAGAACTACACGTATGACTTCAACTTGTTTACCGTCCGCTGGCCAACCACTGAGTGCTCAGATATTAACCGATGTCTCCCTTTTAAACAAAACCAATGGTTAATCCACGGATTGTGGCCAACATATGCCAGTAGTGGTTGGCCTGAGTATTGTTGCGGACATTCATTTGACACCAAGAGTTTAAGTCCAATACGCGATCAATTGTTGACTTATTGGCCGAATTTGATTCCCGGTGCCACTGAAGATAGTTTGTGGCGACACGAATGGCAAAAACACGGCACATGTACTAAAAATCAAGAAATCATTTACTTTAATAATACATTAAATTTGTTGAATAAATATCCGATTTATGATTGGCTTAAAGAGTCAAATATATTACCAACAAATGATAATACTTATGAAGTAAACACATTTCAAAAGGTGATCGACAATAAAGTTGGTCATAAGGTTGTCCTCCACTGTGTGTCTCACAAACAAAACTCTGGCACCAAAGCGATCGCTGAAATCCGTATTTGTTTGAACCATAAAAACGAATCGCACGAAGTGATCGATTGTCCCGAAAAATCAGATTGTGGTCAGAAATTATTGTATCCAACACTTCATAAATAAATTATCATTTTATCTTATATTTTAAATACGATTTGTCAATCAATTTTGTCAATGAATTAACTAAATAATTATTAATATTAGCATAATTTATAATTTGAATTATATTTATGATAAAATGATTTTATTTACAGACAATTTCATGATTTATCTATTATTTATATTTAATTACATATTAATTATGTCTTTAAAAACTAAATATTACAACTTTTTAAAGAGTATGATAAGTTGTGCGCATTTAATGCATATAATTATGACAACAAATATCATATAACTGTTTATATTTACGGTAATATAATATTCATAATATGCTAATTGTAAATATAAACTATAGTATTATAAAATTTAATGTATTATCTTTCGAAATCTAAAGTATTATTTRTTTTATCGTTTATTAAATAGACTTACGGTTATTGTTAAATATCGGTACTGTGGTCTAAAATTGCAGTATTAAAGGTAATTATTTTATCCATTTCAACATAATTTTAAATCACAAACGTAAAAATTTTTATTAATAATATTTTTCATTTTATTACTTAAAAATCAACTATATTAACAATTGGTTCTTTATTACAATAATTTTACATTATAGGTAATTACAAAAATACAATATAACAAAATGTAATACCAATAATAACTACTGTATTATACAGTGTGAATAAATAATATAATATTACAAAATTATAATATATATAATATAAATGTATAATTTGTATATTTTAAAATAACTGATAATTTGAAATTAAATAAATTTGATATTATTTTTGGTGACATTGATGACTACTACTTTGAATCTTTGAAGCAATTTTTCAATACTAATAATTTTAACTAAAACGTTGTCATTGACAGCAATGGCATGTTTTTGACAATCTTTTGTATGCAAATAAGCATTAATACCATTATTAATGCCGCAGTCGATGAACGCTCCCATTGGAGTAACGTTAACCACTCGTCCTTTCAATTGCATACCTTCTTTGAGGTCATTGAAGTGTTTGATTTCTGGTAAATAAATTTGTGTAAAATTTGTCCGGTAATCAAAATCAATACTATTGGATAGGCCTTCGATGATTATCTTCATATTTGTAGTCATTGTATTACATAACTGTGCAATTTCTGACAAACTATACTTTTCATAGCATTTCTTAATCTTGTCACGAATCGATGGTTTACCAATTTCTCGTTTATTGGCACCAATTAGTTCCAAATAAATGTTGGCACAGCTGTACGATTCAGGATGTATTATAGTCGAGTCTAACGGGTCGTAGTCGTCAGTAGAAGTGGCCAATCTCTTGTCCGGTCCGTCATTGCTTTCTTTGCTAAATATTTCATATAATATATGACTAAAATATCACTTATTTTTATCAATTTGTATAACTAAACCTGGATTCAGTGTAAATACTAAATGGTGATCTACGAGTTGATGGCATAACTTTAATAAATCCGGCGCACTGTTCAAACTGTTTCCAAGTGATACCATTGATGTTTCGCAATTGAGATCTACTTGTAAACAGACCGTCTTGTTCTCTCTTCTTAACAATAATATTAGCAATTGTTGGTTCAAGAGCCGCCACTTTACTATTAGAGCCATATAATTGAAACTTTTATATTTCATAATATAAAACAAACCTCAATAACTCAGGTGAGGCCACATTAACATCGACACCACAAAAGCTGACGCACTCAACGGTCACTTCATTAAAAGCTTGTCTTACGGCTTCCTCTGGTATATCGCGCTTTTATAATAATATTAAGTTATTTTATGTACGGTAATCAAAATTAAGATATATATTGTATACCATATACATTCCCACTTGAAGTCGTTTCGGGTCCACTTTGACCAACTCATTCATCGGATCAATCAATCTTCGTGCTATAGAAATAGCTCCAATCATATCAGGTTTATAGTGAGGCAAATCTAATTTCGCTTCTTTGGTCACCGAATAATAACTAACTCCCGATTCATTAATTATTTTATATTTGATATTAAGTGGTTTAAAGAAACCGCATTTCATATGTATTTGTAACATATCCTCAAAGCGTCGACAACCTGTTCCGTTACCCAATGCTATAATTGAACAGTTATTTTGAATCATCATTTCCCTGAGCTGTGCGGCCGCTGTCTCACAATTGTGTTTGTTATTTAAATTAAGTTTTTTGCAATGCAATGGTACGCCCCATGGAGACACTATACAATTATACAACAATTAGTCAGATAAATAAAATCAAAATAGATTATACAAACCAAGTGCTACTTTACATCCCGAATCAATTCCCGGATCAACTCCTATAACATATTCACCTCTAAGTGGTGGCTCAAGAAGAAGATATTTAACATTATTACGAAATACATCTAACGCTTCCGTATGCGATGAATATCTTAATTCCCAACGAATATAATCACTTAGACTTGGCTTTAATTGTGTATTGAATGCAATTTTGACACAATTGACTAATATGTCAGACGGACAACGGAACCACTTTTTAATACAAAAGTCAATCAGTTTATTCAAAACGATTGTCTGAAAACCAATGGAAACTTCAAGTATTCCAAGTTCTTCACCCCTTTCTATAGCCATATATGTGTGAGCTTTCATTTTATCGATTGGTTTTTTAAATGACCGAAAATTGCGATATTTTTGAATTAGATCTATATTTTTAGCACTACTTTCTTCAATTAATTCGTTTATTTTTTTCAAATTTTCCTCCACTTCTAATGTCGTTATGTTTTGTTTATATCTAATTATTAAATAATAATAATTAAATAAAAAATAGTTTATAAATAATATGCACTTACGTTGCAATTAAAAACTCAAGAACATCACAGTCTTTACTGAGAATATCTGCGATAATCTCAGACCATCCGATCTCAACGGTTTGTGGATTATCTAATTCTGTTATCAAAATAARTTATTATAAACACTAACAACAAATCMTTTATAGWTTTCATATAAAAACTAACTGAAAGACATACCGGAAGCAAATCTATTGACAAAATGATTGGGATCGAGACGTTTGCCGTTAAGAACCGATACGGCACTGTCACCTAAACCTAAGTTCCTATATCTTTCAGAAGACTGGCTTTCATTGCGACACAACCTATAGAGATGTTCCACTTCATAGACATTTCTACACCGACGAAGAGCTTCACTCAATCTAGTATTCAGACGACTTTGTTTGGCAAGAGTTGATTCAACTTCTTTGACTCTTTCCTTAGTCTTTTTCAATTCGTTATAAATATTATTAATTCTGCGAACTTTGTCGGCATCGATACCACTAATGGCAGACTGTCTGTATCGAGCAATAAAAGGTACAGTGCATTGATCATCAATCAAATTTAAGACATTTTGTACAATTTTACGATCAAGTTTAACCAAATTTGCAATTATATCCATATCATCGACATTAGAGCTGCCAATAAAATCACTTGAAGTTGAAGTGTTGGGTTCATTGTATAAGAAAGGTATACTTTCGTCATCTTTGGATTCATTAATTGTATTCTTAAAATTTGTCAAAAATGAAGACTTAAACATTGGTTGATAAACATTAGTAGATATCTTTGGAGAATCGGTGTCAACATAAGTAACCACACGCTTAACACCGGATGAAGTGCCCGGTTCTGACTTTAACGCCAATGAAGACGATGAGCTAACCGGAGATGACGAGTATTTTGGTCGAAAAGTACCATCAATTTGTGTTAACTGATTGAGCTATTAATAGACAAAATAATATATTTTATTAAATATCGTTTTTACAATATTTAAATTATTTTAAAGTTATGACTATATTGAGTATGACATCAATTATTAATTATAAAGTTATTATTTGTCTTTATGTGATTAAATCAATTAAATAAAAAGTGAAATTATAACAAAAATGAAATTACAAAATAAGATAAATGTCTTTAAAAATATCTTATAAGTTATACTTTTGAAGTAAAAGTGTTGTTAATAACGAGACATTCTTCCTCGTCGTCATCACTCAAAACAATTACTTCTTGAGAATCGATCTGTTCTTCTATTTTCTGTTCGACCTTTTCTTTGATGTCATGTCTGATCACATTTTTGTCATTTGTATTAACATCTGTTTTATTCATTTCAATCAACTGAATGTCATCATCATCTGAGTCAACAACTAACTGATCGATACTATCTTCCAAACGAGTAGTCAGTTCGTCGATAACCATACAGTCTTCTTCCTCCTCGTCTTCTACATCTTGAATGACACCTTTCTTATCATAAAAGAAAAGCTCATCATTCAATACATTGTCATCTATTGGATTCATCTGTATATCTGAAGTTTCAATGACAACATTTGTTTTATCATTAGTTGTCTCAATTGATGTCACTTCTGAAAGTGTTGACACAGAAGTAATGACAGAATCCAAGACATGTACCACATCTATATCGATGTCATTGTCATCAACTCTATCACAATTGATCTCTTCATCTGAGTCTTCATCGATGGCAATCATACATTCAGTTGTCGTCACCTTTGCTATCGTTGACATTGCAATCAAATCACTTGAATGATTGATCCGATGCTTCAAACAGTCAGTCAATCAATGCATTCATTAATTTGTTTCAATTGTTAGTATAATAACACTATTTTTACATCACTTTAAAGTTAATTCAAAAAATTAAATGCAATTTATATTATAAACACATTTATGAAGCAATAGTTTAATGCATAACACAAACTACGACTCAATCATACATACAATCAAACAATCAATTATTGAATATTAATATCAAAATTAATGAAAAGATGACTAAATTTTTGAAATTTAATATTAATTAGCACTCAATTGTCAAATAATAATAGCTATTAATATCATATAAAAGTTTGTAATCTTTAAATATTTATCATAAGTTATTCATAAGTTTTTTAAATATTTTGATTCATTTTCTTTCGATATCATAATTAAGATATTCATTAAAAACCAGATAAACCTATTTTGAAAGTAAATCTATTTATTATTAAATTCTTGTTATTAACTTTAATCATATTTTTAAATATAAGTTAGTTTTTGATTGAAAATTTGAGTGATATTTGTATCATAATATGATATTACTATTAAGCGCACAATGAAACCAACACTTTGAATACAAAACATTAAAAAAATAATATAATAATTATTGTCTATGTGTTAGAAATTACATGATGTAATCCATCGTATAATAAACTATACAATTATTGTTGTTTTCAAAGTATTGGTTTCATTGTGCACTTAATGTTATACATTATAGATATTTTTTATTATTTGATAAATATAGATTTTAAATGTCATCAATAGTTAAACTTTATACCTTACTTAGTATTTTAATTATATTAATTTCAAGACTCATTTAATAAATTTTTTATTTAAAACTTATAATTGAAGACTTGGATCATAAAAAATATTTTTAAAAATAAAATACAAATAAAAAATACAACAAAAATGTTTTTCATTAATTAATTTAATTATATTAGTTATTGTAAAATTAAGTTCATCTAATAAACTAGACATTTTGCGTTTATTCAAATAAAATAATTATTTTAAAATTATCAAATAATTTATTAAAAGTAATTGAATTTTACAATAAATTATAATATTTAAAATAAACTTTGATAAAATAATAATAATCAATTACATTTTAATTAATGGCACAAAATTTTTAAAATTAAATATATTTGTTTAAAAAKCTTTAATTAATGTAAATAATTCAATAAATGAGTATTTATCATGTTATTAATAATTAATAAATTGTTTTTTTAAATATACAAATTATTTTTATAGTCATAGACAACAAATTCAACATTTGCCGTACAAATCAAATTAATATTAATATTGAAACTTATTGTGTGGACAGTCGATMGCAAAATGAGTTTATAGATTAATTTTATTGTTATCTACAGTACAATCTGTTTTATTGCCGCATTAAACTAAGTATAATTAAAACTCAATAATAAAAATTATTTTCAACTATTTTATTTACCAAAATGTTACATATGGTAAATACCTAAAATTAAGCTTACGTTACGATAGACTGATATTTTATAATTTTTATCTAAGTTTGAAAGTTGTTATAAAATGTTTAATACAATATTAATTATTTATATTTCATCACACATTTTACTATAAATGTTATGTTGAAAATTGTGTGTTGAACAGCCAGTCCATGACTAATAGCCTAACTCTTTAGTATTTTTACAATCAATTAAAAAATTGAAATGATTTTAACAAACATATTATATTTTGATAAACAATTAAAATTAAATCAAATTAAAAGCTTTGTAACGGATTGGTATCAATTTCCTTACAATTTAGTTCAATATAATTTGTTGTCAAAAGTATTTGTAAAACTTTATAAAATAAATATATATACAAAAAAATATAATAAGTCGACAATTATTTTAAAGTTAACACATTTTGATAACTGCAAAATACAAATATTTACCTAAGAGTATATAAACATCCTTTTTATATATATATAATTAATTAATTATATATTGTTTGTTATTTACCGTAAATAATAAATCATTTAATAATATATACATCACTAGCAAGTTAAGACTATAAATAAATATAAATTTTGTACAAATTAAATGCAATTCAATATTTTATAAATAGCTACTATTATAATAAGCTCTGACTATACAGTAAATTATGAATAACATTAACAAATTAAGTGCTGACTTTGATTTACAATTATATAATCATTGGATCGTTGGATATGCATCTATATTAAGGCAAAAGTAAATCCAAATATTCTACTAAATTGATTTACTAATAATATTAGAGTAATATTATTATTAATATTAATTTTATATAATCGAGAATAACTATATTACTATCTACTGTATAATCATTACTGTAATCATAAGTGACTTGATTTAAAAATATTAACAATATATGTATACAATATATATCTGTAATTTATATCTCTTGTATCGTATAGAATATCACAATATATGATAAAATATAAAGTTTTTGGCTTTAAAATGTTATGACACTTAAAACGCTATCAAATAAAAAGCAATAAATTAGATATAAATCACAACTCAATGATCTACTACTAAATATCATCAATAGTAGTGGTAATCGGAGAGAATGTCATTAATTTGTCCGTTAGTATTGTCGGTGACATTATTTTTGTTGTTAAGTTGATAACTGACACCAATATTTTGAAAGTTAAATTCAAAATTTGAATCAAAACTTTTCATGTTGTTAAACCTTTCAAATAGTAATTGTTTGGCAAATTCATATAATTCAATGTCTAAATGATTCAATTGTTTTATCTTATCTAATGTTTCGACACTCAGATGACTGACAGTTAAAGTGCTGTGCGTTTCATTCAATTGATCAAATTGTTGCAAAAAATTCAGATGAAAACTCATTTCAAACAAATATTGAGATATCTTTTGGTGTTCACAGAGACTAAAGAAAGCCATTCGCCGAAGATTTTCCTTAGCACTGGCCAACAGTATTACATCCCTTTCACGAACACTCATAAATGTCTTATTATAACAACCGACAAGTGATAGATCCGCTAACATTCGTGTTTGTCTATTAATAGCTAAATTATTTTCACAACCAATAAACTCGTCAATAGTGACTCCTCTCCAATCACTTCCTGAATAACAAGACGGCAGTTCTTCTTTAGTTGGCGGCCGTCCGTCACACATATGACGAGATGTTTTCCAAGTGGCACCTCTTTGGACGTGTCTATACTCCGATAAAAATCTAGAAATTGGTTCTCTTAATAAAGTTATATAAAAATATCGACGTTTTGTCCGCTGATTTTCACGTTCATCTAAAGCATTGTCAACACAACTCATTAGTTCCTATAAATGACAATTAATTAAGAAATTTATTAATTTATTCAAATAATTAAATAATTGAAATAACTTACAGTAAAATCTGCGTGAAGTCCGCATATCCATCCCGTCGAGTATCGAGAAAATAGCCACAATTTGGCCTCAGAATCGGGACGAAAACATTTGCATTTCTTGCGACCCTTTTTGCAAAGACATGGTTTCTCTAAGTCGAGATCGCGGACTAAATGGCGACCAAAAGCTGTGCCACCTATTCGTGTCATTAATAATACATTTTCATTAGATTTCTTGTCAATCAAACAAATTAAAAACAATACCTGTTTTCTGTATATGAAGAAAAACAATGACATCATTGCCTTTAATATCAAATACAAATTCTTTGGAGTTAATCATATCATCAAAAGACAATTTATTGTGATTTAGTGGATGTAATGACTGTGACAACGATTGACCTAAATTGTCCTTTTGATGGTTTATGTATGGCTCTGATGATGTCGATCGTGAGCTATGATGTCGACACATGCCTTGTGGACACATATAGACCATCAGCATCAGTGACACGAAGACTAATGCCATTATAATCAACACAAAAGACCTTTTGTTTAGTAACAGTCTTCGAGACCATAAACTCGATCTTTTAATCACAATTGAGTCCATTTTGTTGGTAATAATACGATAAAAACGATATCATAATGACATGATTGTCATCGATGGTAATGATATGTCTTGAGTTATGCCATCATTTGATTGAAACAATCGTTTTTTGTATTCAATTATCACTTGAATTGTTTGCAAACAAATCATTAAGTAATGCATTGTTTGAACATTCAGTTTATCAGTCAATATATAGCACTAAATAATATGACTTTTGAATAATTTATTATTAATTATTAAATAAATTATTATTTCATTTAAATATTGTTTTGTTAATTGATTTTATTATATCTATTCATCAAATGTGATAAACTTATAATCATTTAGTTTTGACAAATATTTTAGTTAATATTAGTTAAAATAAGTTAACATAAGTTATTAAGTCGTTATTACTGTTGTTTTGAATGTTTGTATTATTAATATTAATATTTGATTATTACATAAATATACCAATGATTTGATTGTTTGAGTCATTATAGCGATGACTGTAATGACAACAACATTGAAGTATTCAATGACTTAATCATTAAAACACATGTCTTGTGCTGTCATTTGAATTGATATTCAATGTGTTATTAAATTAGTGTTAATAGTGTTATCATCCGGTAATCAAACTATAGATTATCATTGAAAAGAGTGACCACAAAGTTATCTGAAACTGTGTGACAATAGCCGAGACCGACGATCCAGAAATTGTGGACAATGTTGGAGATCACAGACATGCAGAAGATTGGATTAGGACTGTCGGGGTTTGGCATTGCTTTCCTTATGTTAGGAGTGATGTTACTCTTTGATAAGGGATTGTTGGCCATCGGAAACATATTGTTTTTGTCTGGTCTGGCCTTCATTATTGGTCTCGAGCGGACATTTTGGTTCTTCTTTCAGAAACACAAGTGGAAGGCGTCTTTGGCTTTCTTTACGGGCATAACAGTCGTACTGATTGGTTGGCCACTCATCGGTATGATTGTCGAAACGTATGGATTTATATTACTATTTAGAGGCTTCTTCCCGGCGGCCGTCACTTTCCTGACCAGAGTTCCCGTATTGGGAACTATACTGTCTTTACCAGTGATAAGCAAAGTGGTGGACAAATTGGGCGGTGATTCTCGTCGTTCAATGGTTTAGTCACTACTGATTCACTTAGTGTTAAACCATTGTTTAGATTAATAAATAATTTTAATGTTATATATATTTTATATTTAATTATTTTCAAATAATTCTAAGTTTATTAATGAAAATCATTTTATTATTGATATTTGATATATAATTTCATTATTTTTTTTGTATTAAACATATTTTTAGTAACTAAACTCACAGAATAAATGTTGAAATATATTAATGATTGTATATATTTTGTAAATTACAAGTTAATCGGATTAAATTAACTTTTATTTATATTTTATCATTTATTTAATCAATTAAATTACTGGTAATATAATAATAATTATATTATACTCTTTAAATACAATTGTTTGTATAGCAATAATTATAATTAAAATTATTGACCTATTGATTACAATTTAGTTTTTACAGGTATTGTTAAAACTCGTGACATTTGAATAGAGTGTTAATTATCTTAAGTTTTTGAATTCTTAAGTAAACWTTTCCGATAAAATGAAGTCTTTGTTGTTTATATTAATGATAATATCAGTAATAGTGGTCACCATTAATGGCGAAGAAAAGTTCTGTGAAAAGGACCGCAAACTTCTATTGGGAGGTGTTTTCAATTACGACAACATTATTCTGGCCTACAGTTGGAAGGAAGTCAATAGTGTCCAACTGTGGCTTATTTGGAGGTTTAAAATCCAATCCAAAGGCCTGACACCAATGGGAAAGGAAACACATGTGGATAATGTGTTCCCAGGTATTGTCTATTTGTTTCATTTGCAACAATTTCATCGAAATATCATTTTCTGAAGGAATTCCAATGTTTAGGACAGGCTTTGGATTAAATTTAAAATGTGATGATTCAGACACTAAATGCAAGTCTTATAAAGAACTGGTTTTCATATTTTTTCAGACCCATTATAAAGTATATCGCTTTGTAAACGACAAGTTTACCACCGAAGTCGACAAAACTAGTATCCCATGGGGACTTAAAGAGAGGGGTGAGGTCTCCGACTGGTTCTTTGGTGAGACCAATATCGACAATATAAATGGAATCACTTTTATCACTGGATATCAGTCTTATCTGTTTATTGTCACAAAAGATTCGCTTTACAGCAGTCCTGTCAATGTGAAAGTGTCACGACTTAAGTGGACCAAACTTTCCCAAAACAAAGATTTTAGTAATGTTTTGGGAGGTTTTGTGGCAGACAATCAATTATATTTCAATTTAAATCAAGAATCAGATAACTTACTCATCAAATATAACACAAATGGCAAAGAAGAGGAAAGGGTATGTTATTAATGATAATAACAACAAATAATATCTGCTATTAATGTCATCGTTATTATAGATATCTGTTTGGAAATATTTTGGTTGTGATAACAAAAGACAAGAGGCAGCGGTTCTCGAGCCAAATGGCAAAGTCGGAGAAGTCAAAGACGATGGCAAAGACAATCAAATGGCAAATATCGCTAAAATTGTATTGATTTGTGTTGTCATTGCTGTCATCGTCACAGACATCATTGCATCAATCTTTTGGCTAACAGTTTATCGCCGAAAGAAATAATAAATTATATTCAATAATATTCSTTACATTTATTTAAAAACAATTTTCTCAATTAATTTTTTTTAGTTTTTCTGTAAAAATAACTAAATTTTTATCAATAAAAATTTGAATTCAACAGTTTTACATCAAATAATTCATTATTTATAGTTTTAAATATAAATTAAAATAAACTGCTATTTATAYAAATAAATGAAATAATTGCTAAAAACTGTATGAAATAGTTAGTCAATTGAAAGTGTCTTTCCTTCGATATATTCAATAGCTTTTTGTTTGATTCTATCAATTCTTTCAAAATTATTTAATTGTGTTTCAAAATCTATATACCGTTTGAATATAAATTTCATTTGTTTTGCCGCTAATTTAAATGTAATAACTCTTTCAAAAATATTTCTAACCATTTCTTCATTTTCATTGGCATTACTCTTATCATCATTGACTCCATACTTAATCATCATATCTATATAAACAGACCAGAGATCAATCCTTTTGGGAAAATTAGCCAAAATATTCTCGAAGAGTGTCTTTCCGAGCTCTATATCAGCCAATTTGAACTCCATTTGTGCAAACTTTGAGATGACATCGATATGGTATCTCTTCTCCAAACACGTTAAACTTCTTTGCATGAGTTTGCGGGCTGACTCAAACCGTTTACTTTTCATATAAAACAATCCAAAATTAATCCAAACATCTTTATTATGCTTAAACTTCTTTAACATAGTATTATACAACAGTTCCGCTTCTTCCAGTTTGTTTGACTCAGTATAAGTGTTGACCAAATGGTTATATATAATAAATGGTTCGTTGAATTGAACAGCATTTTCAAAGACATCATCCAATGTTTGTTGAGTTCCGTAAAGATTTTCCAAATTAATTGATGCAAACCATATGTTAAGTCTTTCTTTTCTTCGCGAAACGATACAGTTTTAAGAGCTCTTTGGATCAATTCTCTAGCTTTGGTAACTTCTGTCTGTTCTAAATAAAAAGCWATATATTTAAGCCAAACCAAAGAACTATTAGGTGATGCAAACAATGATCTTTCAAAATCATCCACTGTTTCAGGTTTTCTTTGGGTATCCATTAATAATCTTTCAGTTGTGCGAAGATTTTGTTCATTAAGTCTCGACTGTTCATTGCGTTCCCGACGAGTCTTCTTTCTTTTAGGACTTTCATCTTCACAATTATCATCAGAATCTTCGCTSTCAGACAACGGTTGGTCGTCTGTAAGCGAATCCAAACGATTCAAATTAGGTGTGGAATTGTCAACATTCCAAACAAAAGGTTCGTCTAATTTTAAAACATCTTCACATTTAGGTTTAGGTTTTGTGTTTTCAATTTTATTATTATTTTTCTGGTAGTTCTCAATATTCATCAATTTACAGGTCATCTTCTTCTTGTTTACATCAGTCTTCACTACCCGACACCTAACAATCTGTCCAATAGTAAAGATTTTTTCGGGCGAATCCTTAAATAATTTAAATGTATTCAAATGTTTATATGGAATAAATCCTTTGACATTATTGAAAAATTCAATTAATAATCCCTTTTTATGAATCAAACCGATAACACCATCCGTTTGAAAATTTTTGACAGCCTTTTCATACGAATTCAATAAATTCAAACTTTCAGATAATAATGAYTTTTTACACGTAAGATATAATTTACGCGGAGATGAATTCAAATCAATTTTATAAACACGACATTTAATAGACTTTCCAATTGTTAATACTTGTTGGGAGTCATCCGTGTTATCTGACAAATGAATCGCTGGTACAAAACCTTTCACTCCYCTAACTTCTAGATCTATATCAACACCAGCACTGGTAACTCTTTGAACTTTACCATTAACTATAGTTCCGATATTAAAGAGATTTAATGATAAATAGTCGTCAGACTCTCGTTTACTTCGATTTTTATTTTGTTTCGTCAATTCTTCACTATTTTCTTCAAAATTAATATTAGTTTCTGTCATTGGATCGGCATTTATAACTTTCTTGGTTTTGTCGGTAATCAAAGTACACGTCATCTTTTCAGTTATTGGATCAGTTCGCACAACAGAACATCTAATGATCTGTCCAACAGTGAAGAGATTTTCAGGAGATTGTATGGCATTAGTACTCAAAAATTTTAACGGAACAAAGCCTTTGACACCATTAAAGAATTCAATTAAAATCCCTGTCTTTAAAACCAAAGCAATGACTCCGTCTGTTTGAAAGCCTTGAACGGCCTCTTCATATGAAGTTAAAAGTCTTAACTTTTTTGAAAGTAATGACTTTTTGCAGGTAAGACTCACTTTAAAAGGAGTCGTGTTTTTATCCATTTTAAACACTCGACACTTGATTTCTCGTCCTTTCGTAAAGAGTTGTTCCCTATTATGGATTTGTGACACTTCTGTCAAATGTATATTCGGAATAAAGCCTTTTAAGCCAAATCCCAAATACACAACAACTCCATCTTTAGTGACCTTTTTAACATTTCCTTTAACAATAGATCCAATATCGAGATCATCGATGGTCAAGGATGAAGCGCTCAGTTGTGTCTGTTTTAAAGTGACCGTAACAGTCATATCCATTAGATTAATAGCTTTGGCTCGACATCTATGCTTTGATCCAATACTATATAAAGTATCAAAGTCTGTATCTTCGCTTACTTTATCAGATAAATCCTTTTTATGAGCTAAAGCTTTGACACCATTTGACAATTTAAAGATAATATTTCTGAAATTATCTTTTCCTAAAACAACAGACTCGTCATAAATGGTACCAATTCTGTTGTTCTGAAGAAAACTTTTAATTACTTTTAATTCATATTTAGGTTTCAATGAAAGTGCAAAGTGTTTAGTAATAGGATGTCTGTATAATATTATGCCTTCAATTTGATCTCCAATTTGATACATATTTTTAGGTAAATCCCATTCATTCTTTAAGAAACTTCTGGTCACAAAACCCTTAAACTCATCTAAAATGTTGACTTCAAGTCCGTGTTGTTTCACATTCATAACAGTGGCCTTAACTATGAGGCCGGGAGTCATTACCGATGCAATCACACCGCTATCTGACTTGAGYTTAAACTTTGATATGACTTTAGAGTTGGTCGTTAAAGTGATACTTCGGTCACTGACCACACGATCGATGGCACACAAMACCAACATTCCGGCAGATAATGTTTTGCGATCAGTTTCCGACTTATCTTTCGGTAAAAASGCTTTTATTTTATCAAAACCAATATCCATAACAAATCCATGATCTTCAACACTATCCACGGCAGCAATAATGGGAATTTGTGGTACTTTTAACAATGAAGATATCTTAATGTCTTTGTATATATCTTTTGGGTTCATAGATGCCATAACATCAACGGCTTTAAAGCTTTTTAATTTCTTCGATATACTTAATATCTTAATTGGAAAGTATTGTCCGATTTTAAACATACCGTTAGGCTTAAGGACTTCCATATCAGAGACAATGGACTGATTATCAGCCAATGATTGAAGAAGACGAGTATAAGAGTTGGAAATATTAGTGATGGAAACGGTGGCAATGATTCCACTGACGAGACTAAACTTGATCTCAAAATCACTTATCTGYTGAATGCAACCATAGATTACCATTCCTTCTGGTAATGCGGACAAAGACATTGTTTCAATGACAACATTATCATCATTTGTAACCATTTCTTCATCATTTCTTTTCTTATTTTTCTTTTTCTTTCCTTTAGTCACAGTTTGCCAATCATTTTGTTTTCTTTTCCTTACATTAAACAACGCGTCTTCGGCTAAATCAGTGGTTAATGTCTTTGACGAATCCGTTGATGTCTTTAYTACTGACGACTCGTTGGCCACCACTTTAGGAGACTTTCCGCGAATAAAATTTGTTTCTCTTGTCATTTCTATACACTTGTATTCTTACGGATCAATTAAAGTGATACTTTTGACGACAATGTAATCATAAATGTTGTGATAATTATTTTAAAGTCAAATAACAACACAAAATGCAAACCATGTGTTCAATCAATTTAAAGGTATTTTCAATTTGTGTTCATAAATGTCGTCAAACAATGTATTTAATAGTTTTTATATTAATTTACAGTATTTTAAAGTATAATACTGTACTGTTTGTCCACGTATTTTGAAAATAATTAATAAAATTATTATAATATTTAAAAATGTATTTTAAATTATTCATATTTAATAATAATACTAATAATACTAAGACCAAGTAATTTGAAGACATTATTATTTAAATTTACGATAAAATAATTCATTAAATTATACTCTAAATTGTTAGTAATTATTACAGTAAATTAAGTTTATAAATTAATGTACATATAATATGCTGTACTAATACATTATATTAATTTTAAATAAATTAATTTAAAAATATTAAATGGATGTAAATGTTATAGAAATCTATAACTTTATAATAAGAATATTTGTATTGAGAAATACTATTAATTTTATTATATCGCAACAGATATRTAAACATATATTTTAAAGTCASTAATAATTAAAATAAAAATATATTGATAATTAAAAATACCTATATAATCAAAATTAATATAAAATAAATTATTTTTAGAAAATTTTTTGTTAATAATTATTCTAAATATATAAATATATGAATGTATTTATTTAATTTATTGCCATCAAAAACAATCTTTTAGTTTTATATTTCAATCTTACAATAACTATATTAAACTCATATATATTATTATAMTTTAATTTTGATAATTAATTTTAATTAATTTCAGCACATGTTGTATGATATTGTGAAAATTTTATAATAATTATTACGTTAATGTTAATATAGTGATTAATCTGAATTTTCTGATAAATAAATTTTTAATTAATTATATATATATAATGAAAATAACTATAAATAATTGTAAATTAAGTTTAATTTATTATTTTACAATTATAATATTAAATGTAAGCTATCATATTAATATAACATACATRAATTAACTTATAATTAATCATAATTTGCATACATTTTTTTTATTTATTTAGACAACTTATCAAGTTAATTTATCTGTTATTGAATTTGATGAGCAAAATTTTGATAAATATATATGTAAATTATTTAATTATTTCCAAATTAATTAAATAAATAATTTATTTATATTATAAAATGATAGCCAGCTATGAGTTAGTATTTGTCAATTTTCACGCCGAGTGGTGTCCATTCAGTCAACAATTGTCTCCTATTTTTAAAGTGTCGGACAATATTCTGAGTCAAGAATTTAGTGTCGAATCCAAGAGAGTATTGTTAGGACGGGTAGACTGTGACGCAAATCGTATGTAATATATAATGTCTTCATTAATAAATAATTACTAATTTAAATATAATTAAATTTAAGCAAATTTGTCGAATCGATACCAAATAATGAAATACCCAACTCTTAAGTTTTTTCTTAACGGRAAACTCATGAAAAAGGAATACAGAGGACAACGAACTCAGACATCAATTGTCAAACACATGAAACAGTTGTTAACTGATCCCGTCGTACACATTGAATATAATAATTATTCTGATTTGTCGGCAATAATGTTCAATAAATCAGCGGTTATCGGCTATTATATGAACCTCCTAATAGACATCCAAAATATAATATTTTCCGAAAAGTCGCGGCAGATCTAAGAGGCTTTTGTGAGTTCTTTTGGGTCACAAACTCGACATTTCTGACGTCTAATAAAACTGAAATAATTGCTTTTAAGTCWTCTAAAAGTACACAACAATCTGAATATGATTTTATATATGAGACATACGACGAGTTTAGCTCTTGGAGTACATACTTGTGTACACCAATTGTCAGAGAAATTACTTTTGAAAACGCAGAAGAAATTATCGAAGAAAAACTTCCTTTAGTTATACTCTTTCATATATCTAGTGATTACAAGAGCAGTGAAATATTTAAAGAAGTGGTTCATAAAGAGCTTATAAGTGCGACAACAAAAGTAAACTTTGTGACCGCAGACGCAAAACTATTTGATCACCCGTTACATCATATCAACAAAACTAAGAAAGATTTGCCACTCATTGCTATCGATAGTTTTAAACACATTTATCTATTTCCCAAATTTGAAGATTTAAAGTAAGTTTTGAAAAACAATTTAATATACAGTAAATAATTTAATTGAAAAATAATTAAAAAGCATATAATTTATATATATATATATATATATAATACTTTTTTATTTACCTACAAATCTTAAAAATTATCACAAATTTTAGTAAAACTGGTATTTTAGCGAATTTTATAGAAGATCTCAATTCTGGTAAACTTCATCACGACTACCATTTTGGAACAGAAGAACAAACAACTAAAAGTAATTCAATTCAAATCAACGATATTAAGGAAAAAGACGAAGAAGTGGACAAAACACAAACTGAAGAATATGAAGAAAGTGAAGATGATTTTACTGAAGAACTGGTTTGTGTRACAGAGTATTATATTTTACTTAAAATAATATATTAATTGAATCTATAGCTCAAACCAGTGGCTGATTCTGTATTCAAGAAGTTAGCGCCGTCTGAGAGCAGATATACTATTCTTAAGGACGAACTATAGATGGGATTAGAAAACACGCAAATATTTTATAATTAAATCATTTAAATATAATTWWAAAAAATTATTTATTTAAATTCAATTTTATGACAAATGACTCGTAATTTTGAAYGGAATTAAAAAAACTAATTATTAGTAGTTTTTCGATTGTTTTTCTTAAATTTTTGTCTTTTTTCATGTCTTTTGTCTTCTGTTTTCTCTTTCAATTGTTGTTTTTGTTTATGTCTTTTCATTCGCAAATAATATGGATTTTCAGCCAAAGCCTGTGAATATCGTTTTTTGTTATACTTCTTGAACTCCGCGTCGACCAACAGTTCCTCAACAAGTGTTTTCTTTCGATCCTTTTTAGGAACTCTTGAATGATAAAAGTCTGCTTTGGATTCGATAACAGTTCCCATTTGGAAGAACTTTGGTAATGCTTTGTTATCATTCTTCTTGTAGAATCTGTCTCTATTCCAACCCTTTCGGTACTTTAGAGCTAATAAATCATTTTTCACTTCTTCAGTYACATCTGCAACCTTCATATCGAACCACTTCTTGCCTAACGTTTTACCACTTTCTTGTCTATTCATCTTCTTTTTCATTCTTCGACTGACACGAAATGGTTCCACAGTATAGTTCTGTTCAAAACCTGCTTTAATGACACTCTTTTTGCTTAACTCTGTCTCCAAAGTCTTCAAAGACATTCCATTCAATGTCTTCATAATGTCTTCTGGTTTCTGGTCGTTGCAAATATATGGAAGTACTTTAAGTTGAACATCGAGTCCACTTCCAAACACCGACTTCTTGTTGGCCATCGATTGATGGACTTATTGTTAAKATATTGAAGACAACAACTGTTTGTTTGATATAATGTTTGCCATTAAGTACTACATGTGTTACACATTGTAATGGTTTAGCACTCATAAAGCCATTGAATAATAGTATTTATATATTTAATTTTAATTTTCTTTTGGTACTATTTATGACTGTCGTTTTTATTGAATATAATGTATTAACTTAAATCTAAAAGTACTTAAACAACAAGTGAACTTAGTTTGTTTTCAATGTCACAAAATGACACTCAATAACACATTAGTGTATTCGTGGATTCAATTTTATAACGTTTAATGCTTAGGGGCGGAGCTTTCAATATATTATAGGATATGACTATTGCTATTATAGTACAATAATATACTRTATATTTATTAAACAATTTATATGTATATATTAAGTGCAATCTATGATATATCTATGTGTTTGTGTTGTGTATGCAATGAATTAGATTTGTTTTGAGGTTTCATGCGATTAGTTGTAGTGATAATCACATCCCAAGACATTGTGACAACTGATACCACTTTTGATAAYTAAGTTGATGTTTGACTAACTTTAATGTGATGTCAATGGATGAYGACTTAGATGACTACGAGCTGTTTTGGTCAACAATTGTATCGCACATTCAGATATTGTCCCAATCGGTGGCCAATTTCGGTGATTTGTTTGTCAAACCGGTCCTAAAGGAGTGGTGCAACCAATTGGTGTCATTTGTGATGAGACCGCAGACATTGGTGGCCATCTCAATGATATTGATTTTAGCGCTTATATGTCATGTATTTGAGTATTGGTTTAAATCGGCGCTTCGGTCGGCCGTCAATTTGGCCAAACGGGTCAATATTGGACTGACTATTGTGTCGACCGCTTTGTCAGCATTTTTGCCAAATGTTGAGTGCATTACGCGTATAGTTAGTGATAATATTGTCGATGAATTTAAGGACAGTTATGTCGGCATTTATGCCATTCAAGGCAGAAGGCCTAAGATGGAGGACAGGTTCACGTATGTCAACGACACTACACGTGCAGGCATTGAGTATTGGGCTGTCTTTGATGGACACGGAGGAGATGTATGTCTACAGTGTTTTATAATATTATAGTATATATGATATAATATATGGTTTAATACTTATTACTAATAATTAGTTGATCTCTTGTGGTATATCTATAGGGATCAGACATTTTTAAGTGCATTAGTCGTAACAAATGATTAGATAGCACTTGTCATTCATGATTGTATGCATTAAATCCATCATCACTTCCCATTTGAACCACAAAAGGATCAAATAGTTATATACACTAAACTAACTCTACCTTTAATTGACTGTATTTTTAATTACAGTTTTTATTTTGAATTTTATGTGTTTTCCAATTATTTTTAATGACTTTTTAAGATATTACTGAACTTAATATTATTTAAGCAGTTTATTGATTTATTTTAGTTATTAAAAATAGATATAAATTTAATTTTAAATTTGTTAACAAATAAATTTTGACTGTAATAACTACAGTAAGTTTAATTAACTTACTAATAGATAGTATTTTATGTATTTATGTATTAAATAATATTTATTCTTTGCTTAGAAATTAATATAAATTGAAATTTAATTTAAGTAAAAATGTTTTTATTTTTGACTAACAGAGCGCCGCTATATATGTAGAGTCAAAGTTATACGAAGCGATCCGTAAAAGAGTAGAAGAGTTGATAACCAAAACTGATTCACCAAATGATTTCCCAAAAAATTCAGTCGACTTTTGTATAAAAGATGATCCAAAGTCTAAGCTATCTATGAGTGAGTCAAGTGATAGTAACAAGTCATCAAAAGAGTACAATTTTGAAGCACTGACTGTGACCTCATTGTCCAAAATAGTCACTGAAGAGGTCTTAGAAATAGACCGACAATTAGTTGTCGATAGCAAAGAAAAAGGTGACGTCTCGGGCAGTACTGCATTGATTGCATTGAGAAATGTGGCTCAAAATAAGTTGATTGTGGCTAATGTTGGCGACTCGAGAGCTGTTATTTGTGACGGCAAAGGAGCCACTATTCCGTTATCATTTGATCACAAACCACAACAAGTAAGACATCATTATATTTATACAATACTTACTTATTATAAATCTATAGCTAAAAGAGCACAAACGTATCAAAGAAGCCGGAGGTTTCATCAAATTCAATGGTGTTTGGAGAGTGGCAGGTATTTTAGCCACTTCTAGAGCTATGGGTGACTATCCATTAAAAGACACAAATATGGTTATCGCTGAACCAGATATTCTCACGTTTAACTTGAATGATATTCAGCCTAAATTCATGATTCTGGCCACTGATGGCCTCTGGGATACATTTACTAATGAAGAGGCCGTTGCCTTTGCAAAGGAATCAYTAATTAAAGTCAAACAAAGCAATACAACRCATACGGCCCACGAAGTGGCCAAAAATCTAGTGTTTGAGTCATACAGACGGGGCTCTCTCGACAATATTACTGTTATTTTTGTCGTTTTTGATGACAATTTTGATGAAACATCYAATTCTTTATGATTTGGAAAACTTTGTGTCCATTCAGTCAATTAGTCATAATTTTTCACGATATTAACTTACAGTACATTTTTAAACTTATTATTATTACAACTTTATTTATTTATTTAAATTTCATGAGATTTATATTTGTAAATTAATTGCAAATGWAGTTCAAAGATTAAAGTCTAAACTATATTTTGTTTTTTTYCATTTTTCAAAAAAGTTATAGATTTTGTATTTAATTTGCAATCAATTTATTTATAATAAAATTTATTATTTGAAACAAGTATAATAAAACTCAAATATATTTTTTGTAGAATACTATAAAAAAATTATTGTTTAAAACTTAATAGTTGTGCACCTTTTGGGACATTATCTCCCGGTTTGTATAATAATTTATCGATGACTACATCGGCATTGGCTTTGATAACGTACTCCATTTTCATGGCTATCATAACTAGAAGATTGTCTCCACTTTTGACGGCCTGGCCTTCAGATACAAGAATTTTATCGATAATTCCAGGCATTGGAGACAATATTGATTTGCAATCCGATTCCGATTCTGCACTTTGTGTCCGCAAATATTCAGGAATTATTAGATTAAAACTATTTGATCCCTCTTTACTGAAAATAGATATTTGATTGTCTGTTATTAGAACTCTTTGTTTCTTTTTAATGCCATTTAAATCAATAATTAAATTATTAGAGTCTAAGTCATAATCAGCTTCAATATTATCAATTATATGATTACCAACAGTCAATTGAAATGTTTTGTCGACATTGAGTTTCACTTTAATTTCAAAAGACGTTTGTTGGGAATCAACTAAATTAATGTATCGAAAGATTGGTATTTCATGAAGACGTTTGTTATCACATGAATTGAATGGAGACAATGGTTCACAAGAAATATTTTGGCGATTCATTAGCGATACTTTTTCTTGTAAAATAAGTGCCATAACTGCTGAACACAACATCTCATTTGTTGTCTCTGTTTTGGCAAACAAGTCATTAAAGTAATCTTTGATGAAATCTGTGTAAACGTTTCCGTTTCTAAATTCCCGATGATTTGTAAGTCTCAACAAAAAATCAACATTTGTTTTAAGTCCAACAATATTGTATTCATTTAGACATTGTCTCAATTTATTCAGAGCATTGTCTCTATTGTGTCCCCAAATTACAAGTTTGGCAATCATGGGATCGTAATGTACTGATACCTCATCACCAGATCTGACACCAGTTTCTATTCTTACATCCGATGAAGGAACGGGAGTTTTTATTTGAGTCACTTGACCGGCTCCGGGCATAAAATTATTTTCAGGATCTTCAGCATAAATTCGGGCTTCAAATGAGTGTCCGTTTATTGTGAGATCACTTTGTTTGAGTGGTAACGGCTCTCCCGCAGCAACCCTTAGCTGCCACTCAACCAAATCAGTTGACGAAATCATTTCAGTGATTGGATGCTCTACTTGTAAACGAGTATTCATTTCCATAAAATAAAATTTTGACTCTTTTGTATCATAAATAAACTCAACGGTTCCGGCGCCCAAATAATTAACAGCTTTAGCAGCTTTGACAGCAGCCATACCTAACTCTTGTCGAGTTTGTGGTGTTATGTGCGGTGCCGGCGCTTCTTCTATAATCTTTTGATGTCTTCTTTGTACTGAACAATCTCTTTCAAAGAGGTGAACATAATTTCCAAATGAGTCGCCAAACACTTGAACTTCAATATGTCTGGGATTTGACACAAATTTTTCGATAAGCATCGAGTCGTCACCAAATGATTTGATGGCTTCCCTTCTGGCGGACTCTAATTGCTCTTTAAAATCACTTTCCTTTAGTGCAGTTCGCATACCTTTTCCACCTCCACCTCTAATTGCTTTAATCATAACTGGAAATCCTATTTTGATAGCTTCTTCTAACAAATAGTCATCATTTTGTTCATCTCCATGATATCCGGGAACAACTGGAACTCCTGCATTTGACATAATAACTTTAGATGTAGACTTTATGCCCATATCTCTTATGGCATCAGCTTTCGGTCCAATAAATATAATATTATGTTTGTCACACATATCAGCAAACTCTGCATTTTCTGAGAGAAAGCCATACCCGGGATGTATAGCACAAACATTGGCGGCAATCGCGGTGTTAATTATTTTTTGTTTGTCTAAATAGCTTTGATTGGATTGGGAGCCACCGATATAGTAGGACTGATCCGCCAATTTTGTATGTAATGAATGTCTGTCGGCATCTGAATAAACAGCTATTGTCTCAATACCTAACTTTCTGGTCGTTTTCATTATCCGAACCGCTATTTCTCCACGATTTGCAATCAACACTCTCTTCAATGCCTTTACATTATGTGCTTCTCTAACATTGTTTAATAATATTTTAGTTTTAGATCTGATGACAAAATTTTCATTCAATACATTTCTAAAAATTAAGTAATTTTTTGTTAATAAATAGTCATATTTATCAAAATCTTTTATTAATTAAATACCTGGAAATTAAAGTAATATTAGAATATCTTTTAGAGATTACATTCATTTTTACTTTATTTTAATATAAAACAATTGAAAATAATTCAAGTAATTTTAACATAAATTTATTGAACACATGTGTTATCATTTGTATATCAATATTTAAATTGATAGGAAATTTTCTGATCATTTAATACTATAAATTGTTATTTGTTGTGAAAATCAAGTTTTTTTTTATTTTTAAGTTTCATGGCGTTTGAAATATAACATCAAACAAACCAGTTGTCAGATGAATAGTATTGGAAAAGACCTTCAAATTATAATACTCAGGGTATCATCAAATTTATACTGTATTACACTTGTATTAACTTATGTAATATTATATTATAGATATTAATAAACTATCATGATTATTTTTATAACTGGTCATTAATAACTTTTTCATATGAATATCAYATAAACTATGTCTAAATAATTTTCAAATTAGAGACATTTAAAAATATAATTTATTAACAATTTAAAGTTAAATATCTTTTAATATTAACTTTTTAAAAATATAATACAAATTTGAATAAATCATTACTACAACATATAATATATATTCCCTTAAGTGTAATAATAGCTTAATTTTTTAAAAATAGCCTACTTAAACACTTAAACACTTAAACACATAATATGTATAATTAAATTTTTTACCAAGTTGAAATAAACTTTCATTAATTAATATTTTGATTACTCATTTGCATAAACATTAATTTTAAACAAATACTCAATACTTTTGTAAAAATATGTCATATTAAAACTGAAAATGWTATATTTAACTATTTTTTATTGTTTATAATTATTTATTGAAGTATACTATAATCAATCTAAATGATAGTCACATTTTGGATTCAGAAATAAAATTTTTTGAAAATTTGGCTGAAAACTACATAAAAAATTAGATTTTAGATTTTTAAGTTTTGATTTGAATAAAGCATCAAAAATAAGATATAGTAAAGTAGTATAAAATTTTTTATATTTTTAGTAACAGAATATAAAGATTGAAATAATTTAATAATAAATATAATAATAATAATGAGTTCGTCTGGAAATGCTTTCTAGCATTGTCAACTGGTTACAAATGCATTGTTTAAAATTAAAATTAATATTAAAATTATATTTTATTATAATTATAATATTTAAAATTATATATATTATATAATGTCTCAAATATTTTGAAACTAAATTATTAATTAAGTCATCGATAAAATTATGTTTAAGTTGAGTCTAAAATAACATTATTGGTAAATGAAATGATAAAATATATTAAAGAATATGAAACAAATAATATTGTTATGAATTGTGTCATATTATGGCAAATATTTAAAAGATGACAAATAATTTCATAAAATATCTAAATTAATAATTTTATATTATATATTTATAATCATGAAATTATAAATTTTATATATGAAAATATTAACAATCAAATACATAATAATATATAATATAATATTTATATATAAAGAATATTTTTTTAATAATTTCAATTTTATCTATTCGTAAATTATAAACTTAAACGTAAAAAATTGAATACAATATTTCAATGATTTTTATACAAAAAATTAATTTTTTGTATTATTTATTGTAGAAATATAAACTATCATAAATTTATATTATCCTTTATTATTATTATTATTCTAACAATCTAGGCAGGGAAAATAAAATATTTTCCGGGAAAATTGGAGGGATTTTATTAGGGAACTTCCCTCCCTTGAAAAGTTGTYAGAACTCTATTTACAGTACAGTACAGATGTATCGTTTACTTAAAAATGTTCGCAATTTTCTATATATAACTCTATAAGTTTTTACTTACTTTAAAATYAGCACTTATGACAACAATTATCTATGATTTGTGGACACTATTCAACATTACTGTAGATAATTATTGTCAAAGTGCTGTCAAAGTAAGTAAAAACTTATAAATTTTTATTATAATGTTTGACATCAAYTATWAAAAATCTTWATAAAATTATTTAACTCTCTTTCATATTATWATATAATAGTGATTCTCACATCAAAYATCATCACTTATTATTAAAAAATATAAAATGAAMAGTGTTACTTATTATTAAATATATTATACATTTATTTGATTAATAATTTTTATGTATAACATTTATAAATTAATTAAAAAATTAATATAAAATACAGTATAATATATTTGTATCGCTTTATACAGTATTGACATATATTTAATAATCAAATCTTTGAATTGTCTTTGAATTTTCTCTTTCGTGGGTCAAGATCTTCATCACTTGGATCGGGTAAAAGTGCACTAAATAATTAATATAAGTTAATAATTAAACATTTATTATTTTTTGTAAAATATACAAACTTTTCACAATTAATATAACTATCTCTAGTCATACGGTATATATGACATTCAAATTTATTGGAACCAATCTCTCTGTTTGTTATTACTATTGTATCCAAATCCATGATAAGGCTGTAGTCAGACATCTAATCGTAAAATTAATAATTTATAGAAAAAGACAAATATTAATAAATCAATGTTTACTTCATCGAGAGTCAGTCCTAATTGAAACTCATGTAACGTCTCTCCCGTTTCGTTATCACARATAGTAATCATTCCGTTGGTCTTCTTTCTAGAGGTAGTATTGATTCCCAACAATAAAAACAATTCCAACTCATTCTCAAAATCTGAAGCCAGAATTTGTCTCTAAAAATAATATAATTTTATTAATTATTATTATTATTATTATTATTATTATTATTATTAGTAGTAGTAGTAGTAGTAGTAGTATTGCCGTTAATTAAAATTTTCAATTATAGATAATTAATTTTTATTAACAAACCTCTGGATTTTCAGTATAACAAATATTTTTGGCGGCTCTTCGTTGACCATTAATTTTTGTAATAAAAAGACGACCATTGGTTATGTTTTTATCGTTAACTTTGAATTTCAATTCAAATTGTTGTCTAATTATTTTATTATTACTTTCATTAAAAATTTTATAAAATTTGATATAATTAGCCGATTCATAAATAAGTCTTCCGCTATCATCTGAATGAAAACTTAATGTATCCGCTTCTGTGGTATTGTTGGGGACATCAAAACAACCGTTTTCTAAGAGTTGATTGGTTGCAACGTCTCGTACCTCAAACACTCCTGCAGTATGTGACGGGTTGAACACATAATGAAATGGATATCCACCGAAATGTAGATTCTGTTCACTACATCTAACCTCAAATAAAACCGGAGGAACTGTTGCTATCTAAACAATTATAACTAAATTTATAGAAAAAAACAATAAAATATGAGTAAACCTTATAATTTAATGGCAATCCAAACGGGTATTCACCAACTTTTCCCCCTAAATCATCACATTTCTTGTTAAGACTCGCTTCAAATAAACAATTTGTTTCTTTAATAATTTCATTGAGACTATAAATACGAATTTTTGCGTTATTTTGAGATCCTATTCCCACAATCAATAGTCCCTCTGATATGTTGGCGCTATTGACTTCTTTGCCGAAAATCTATTTGCAATAAAAAAAACTCATATTAAATGTAAAATAAATTTTATTGAAWCATTCATATTAACTTATCCTTAATATTATTTAAAAATTAATAAATTGTTCAGGATAATTTAAATCAATTTTATTTAAAAAAATGATTACCGGTAACTAATGATTGTATTTAAAATTATCAAAATAATTCTAATCATTCACATTATTCACAAAATTAGTGTACAGTATAKACTGTATATCAAAACTTACCAYAATATGAAATATTTGTTAAAAATGTTTTTATTTACAAAGTTATATAATACTGTTTGATACATATTTTGAATCTATTTGCGTCAACCGATAGACAGTAACTCTGAATAGCAGCAAATCTAATGCAAATTACTAACCGTTTGATTGATCTCAAAGAGGGCCACAAATCTAATGGGCATAATCTTGAATACAGCGACCGCCTGAACAACTCTCAGSTTTTGATTTGGAGTCCGTATACCCGGAAAAAGTGTTGACTGAACGACAATAGTCTCGCCCTGTGTTTCCCAATCTATGTGACGGAAGCTATATCTCTGAACTGATCCCAAATAAATCTTTTGCATCACTTTTCCTGATATGTTATCATATCTAATAAGCCAATTATCAGAAGTGAGGGCAAAAAAATATGGTTTATAATCTTCACGTGGAAGTGGTGTAGTGTACTAACAATAAAATAGAAATAAATTAAATAAACAAAAATATAGCGAAATATATAATTGCTATACAATTGRTCCGCTATATATAAAGACGTCTTCAAATTTCTTAATTTTTGTATTCTTCTTAAGTTTATATAAAGTTGACGGAAGACTATCGTAACCACAACTAAAGGATTTTATTATTACAATAAATTTAATGTCATTTATTGGCAAAAGTCGACAATTGATTATACATTACTTACAGAGAGAGACAATGGGTGTGATTATTGAAGTATATCTTTCCGCTGAACCAAACAATCAGATTATAAATAATTTTTGTATTTTAAATACAATTATCAAATAAATGTCATACTCTTCAAAAACGATGGGTTGTTTGGATGTTTGACACCAAATCTTTTCAAACTTTGTCCGCTTCTGTAATATAATTGAAATTTTAAGTAATTTAGTAATAATTTAAACAATGAATACAATAATTGATTACATCTGTGATTAAGGATTGAATAATCTTCAGTGACTGTCGATATGGAGACCCGTTTAGACCTAAAGACAAATCAGACAACATTTTGATGACATTCTTCTTGGATCTCATTGTTCTTATTGTTTATTTGATCCAATGATCATCACTTGTCAACAATTGGTTTCATATATGATATAAACATTTATAAACTAATTTTCATTAAATAATCACAAATTTATTAATCAATTAATTAAATTTCAATTTAAAACCAAATTATATATTAATACAATTATATAATACATGTTCAGAGCCAACATTAATAYCATTATATAATTGAATAATGTATAAATCAATTGCAGACTATTATAATGCTTTCGTATACCGTATTATTAATAAAAGGGTTTGAGTTAAGAGTAATGTATTGAATATGTATTGAATTGATATAATGTTTATCTGGGGTTTCAAATGTTGACTCAATTATGTCATTATATATGTGAATGAGTTTTCTAATGATATTGAAAATTGAAGACAACATTGAAATACAATAAACACTATAATAATGAGTCAATCGGTAAGCAATGCATTGTTGAAGACATAGACCATCGATGAGATACTCTTAAGATGAATACAGAAGCCGTGGCCAAGACATGCATCGGGTGTTCAATTTCGGGCTCTTTCAGCCTCTTGTGTCCAAATTGTCTAAAATTTGGTAAAAATGATTCAATTTTTTGCACTCAAGAGTGCTTCAAAAAGAATTGGTCTCAGCATAAGGTGATCCACAAGACATTAATGACAACTAATAATAATAATAATAAAATTGCTGAGACATACAATCCGTGGCCTAATTATGACTTTACAGGACCCTTAAGACCAGTCTATCCGTTATCATTGAAGCGTTCAGTTGCCGAACACATCGAGCGACCCGATTATGCTGACCACCCATTGGGTGAATCCAAATGCGAACAATCTATCAAAGGATCCACTCATATAAAAGTATTGGACGACGAAGAGATTGAAGGAGTACGAGTGGCCGGTCTTTTGGCGCGTCAAGTAATGGATGTGGCCTACAGTGCCATTGCTATAGGYGTGACCACAGATGAAGTGGACCGACTCGTTCACGAAGCATGTATTGAACGCGACTGCTATCCTTCGCCTTTGAATTACTACAACTTCCCGAAATCGTGYTGTACTTCAGTTAATGAAGTGATTTGTCACGGAATACCAGATCAACGGCCGTTAGAAGACGGAGACTTATGTAATGTCGATATAACTATATTTCATCGCGGATTTCATGGAGATCTCAACGAAACATTTTTTGTGGGCAATGTATCMGAAGAGGCTAAACGATTGGTGAAGACTACGTGGGAATCACTACAGAAAGTATATATCATTATATAGTAATTTCTAAACACATTTTGACAAATTGTTTAATTAATTGTTAGGCTATTGAACTAATAAAACCGGGAGAAAAGTATCGAGAGATTGGAAATGTTATTCAAAAACACGTACAAAGTCAGGGATATTCAGTGGTTAAGAGCTATTGTGGTCACGGTATGTATTGTGAATATCAGATAAATTATTGAATGTATTTSTAATACTTACCGGTATATTGAAACAGGAATCCATCGTTTGTTTCATACGGCACCTCAAGTACCTCACTATGCAAAGAATAAGGCTATGGGTGTCATGAAAGCAGGTCATTGTTTTACAATTGAGCCCATGATATCAGAGGGAACCTGGAGGGATGAATGTTGGCCCGATGATTGGACCGCAGTTACCAAAGATGGCAAACTATCGGCTCAATTTGAACAGACATTTCTGGTTACAGATACCGGCTATGAAATACTTACCCGAAGACGTTCTCACAATGGTTTGCCTTATTTTATGGATTGATTAATTGAAATATTATTTTAGTTTGCATTTATTTCAATTATCATTTGAAGAAAAATAATTATAATGTTTTAATAAAGATCTTAAAAAAGTTTACATTAAAATATATAATTATTGTTTCAAAAATTACAAAACATCCGATATATCTTTATATTTGGGTCTATCMTTTTGAGACCAATTTTCAATGGATTCTTCATTAATTGAGTTTGTTTTAAATGAATGAAATGAAAAATCGCTGAAAACAGTAATTGGATTGAAATTGTTGTCAATTGGTCTTTCAATTAACATATTTTAAACTCTTCACATAAAGTCGTTGCAAATAAATATTTAAACTCATGTTTTGCCACTCTTTGGGATCCAATTGTTTCAATCATTGTATTAAAACTATTGCCTAATATCACCATTTGATTCAATTGACTTAATGTCCAGTTGGACCACAAAAGGTTATTAAATAGACATTTATCGCAGTGAGGCATATAAAACATCACCATTTGATCCAATTGTATATCAATTGAGTGAATACAGTGATTGTTAACTTTCAATACATTAAATTGTAAATTATTTTTAAGAAAATCTGTTTCAATATCACTAAAAATTGGATCAAATATTGARATTTTGAGAGATTTGGCAAATGATTTCTTTAGACTAACAAGAAGTGCCAATTGATATAATGAATCAATACTTGTCAAGAAGTTTCCCAAACCATAGCATACTATATGTGATATTTTATTAATAATTAAAGTTTTATTTGTCTTCAAACAACTGTAAAGCGATTGYAAAACATTGTCCACAAAATGACAATCAGACAGATGTTTGACACATAGGTTAAGACGTTTATCAATGTCCTCGAGTCTACCATTTGTGTTGAGATGTGCTTCAAATTTGTTGATAATTTGAACGACAATTCATTTGATTGATATTTATAACGATTTCTGTTTTTTCTTCGTCTCGTTTGATAAACACTAATAAAGCCATCGTTGGTCTCATTTATCAAAGACATTATCTAAAGACTACTAAATATATAATTAAATTGAAAAATACTATTAAAAAATTGATTTCAATTGAAATGATTGTTTAATCAGGTATTTAGTCGACAATTACACAAAATATTAAATTTATATATAAATTATAAATATTTATCAAAATTAATACTTTAATAAAATAATWATAATWATTATTAAATGGTTGTCATAGAAACTATAGGTTATATTTATAGCGCAAAYAATTAGTGTTTGAAATGAAAACATTAGTCATTTGATTGTCATTTGAATGAATTAGTTGTTTCATTGTTTACCTAATAATCGATGTCTTCATTAAACAAGTCTTATCCTAAAGTCATCCGAAAGTTAGACGAAACAGTTGTCAACAGAATATCTGCCGGAGAAGTGATTCATAGACCAGTAAATGTTGTCAAAGAGTTGATTGAAAACAGGTTTTATAATAATTRTTATTAATTTACTATTTATTTGTTAATTATTAATGTTTTTAATAACAGTTTGGACGCCAACTGTTCGTCCATTGAGGTGACCATAAAAGATGGCGGAATGAAAACTTTGATAATACAAGACAATGGATGTGGTATTCAAGTAATGATTATTTACATATAATAAATGCTTGTGTTTAGTGAAAACATAACTAAAGAAGTTTATAATTAATTAACAGAAAGAAGACTTGGATATAGTCTGTGAAAGGTTTACCACTTCTAAACTCGAGTCGTTTGAAGACTTGGTAACCATTCAAACACATGGTTTTAGAGGCGAAGCATTGGCTTCAATTAGTCACATATCTTATGTGACTATTGTCACCAAAACTGATTCACAAATGTGTGGATTTAAAATACAATTCATTGACGGAAAGCCTAAGTCAGATGCCGTTCCGTTGGCCGCTAATAACGGAACGATAATTACTGTCGAAAATCTCTTTTATAATATTCCGTTGCGAAGAAAGGCTTTAAATAATATTTCACACGAATATAATTTGATTATCGATTTACTAACTAAATATGCAATCAATTACTCGAATAGGGTTTCATTTTCACTGAAAAAATTGGGCGAAAGTTGTGATTTGGTTACTAATGTTGAYAATAGTCTTATTGATAATATTAGAGTACTTTATGGACCAAACATTGCCACTAATTTGATTGAAATATCATTTGAAGACATGACAAGACTTAAATTCTTGATGACTGGATTTACTTCAAATCAAAATATTCATCAAAAGAATTTTGTATTTATTTTATTTATAAACAATCGCTTAGTTGAATGTCAAACACTAAAGAAAGCAATTGACTTGATTTACAGTAATTATCTTTTAAAGAGTTGCCATCCATTTGTTTATTTGGACATAAAGATAGAGTCGCATAACATTGATGTCAATGTTCATCCCACTAAAAATGAAGTTTATTTTCTTCACGAACAAGAAATTTGTGAGAAAATTAGTTGAAACCATTGAAAGCAAATTAACTAAAGGAAAGGAGAGTCGACTTCTAAGTGAAGATATTAGCACTTTATTTAATATGTCGTCTTCACAGTTATCTATCGAAAGTCAATCTGAAAGTCAATCTATGAGTCGAAATAACSCATCTGTTGCTGAGGTTAATAAAAGTCCAAAAATTRTGAATATAAATAAAGAAATKACTTCTCGAAGACCTCAAAAGCAGGTCAGAACTGATAGTAAAGATCGAAAGATTAATGAATACTTATTTCAGTCGAAAAAAGTAAACAGAAAGAGAAGAGATATCAGATTAAAAGTGTTATTTTACTTCGCAATAATGTTTCTGAAGAAACTGATAGTAATTTCCAAAATATTATCTGTAATTCGACTTTTGTTGGATGTGCTGACGAGACATACATTTTAGTTCAATACAATACCCAACTATTTTTGGTTAATGCGGTTAATCTAAATATAGACTTATTTTATCAATTATATCTCATTGATTTTGCAAACTTTGAACAAATCAAATTTGCTAAACCATTGCTTATATCTGAAATAATAGCGCCATATCTTAATGATTTGAATAATAACTCTCAGACACAACCYTTGGACGCAATATTTGTTGAGACAATACTTATGGAAAAGAGTGAAATGCTTTCCGATTATTTCTCTATTAATATAAGTCCACAAAAAGAGTTACTTAGTTTGCCTCAAATATTGGACTCTTWTGTCCCTAATTTTGGTTATTTACCACAATTTCTCTGTTGTTTAGCTCAAGAYGTTAACTGGAAATCAGAGAAGGAGTGYTTTGAAAGTATTGGTAAAATTTTGGCCAATTTTTACGCAAAGCCTCCAAATAAATTTGAGTCCAATGATGAACATCACAAATGGGCCAAAATGTTTGAGACTCTTATTTATCCAAAATATAAACAAATRTTATGTCCATCAAAGTCTGTGTCAAATAACTCGACATTTTTTGCTGTCACAACACTTCCTGATTTGTATAAAGTTTTTGAAAGATGTTAAAAACATATCACATATTTTGTTATATATTTGTTAAATGTATTACAGATAATTAAAATATGTAATAAAAGTTTAAACAAAATTAATAAAAATAGACTTTTATTAAAAATTATTATTATATTACTTTTAAGCAAACTTTACTTTACTGTATTTGTTATGATAGTATCGATGGCAACCGATTCTTTAATTTTTTAATACAAACAATATTTTAGTCATTTTATCAAATAAATAATAATAATAATAATAATTAAATAAATTTATATATAATAATGTGTGAATTAAGTGAACATTTTGAAGATTTGATATTGGATTCAAGTTTCAAAAGTRATGTTTATCTTATAAATCTGTGGCTACAGCTATCAGTTTATTTCAATTGCTATTTTACTCCCATTTGGATTGTATGCCAATTATATTCAATGACTATAAAATTGAACAAATTGTCAGAAATTAATCAATTTTTAGCCATAACTTCACTGACAATATTAATAGTGATTGAAATTCCTCGCCTATACTTAGGATATTTGGGAAACCTATTCACCAGAATCCGTGCATTACTTGCATTTGTATTGTTATCAGTTTTAATACAATTTCCAATACATTTATTCCGACAAACAGCTGCTATATTTTGTTTCTATGTATTACCGATTGAAATAACAATGGATATAATTATGATTATATTTTTATTSACACAAATTATATTATCAATTAATACGTTAGTACAACAAACAAGATATCACTTATCACTTTCCTACTCACAAAAATAAATGAATTTTGTTTACATATTTTGAAAATAGCGCCTATTATTTAATTTGAGTCAATTGTACAGAATTTATATTAGAATTTTAATAATCGTTTAATAAATTATTTTTGATATCTTTTTGAAATCTGAAGTGAATTAAATTTTATKTTAATTATATTATTAAAAAATAAATTAATAACTTTTATTTTTATATTAATAATGCGATTATTAGGATATTCTTTATGTTTATTCTCGATAATAACTGTAATAACAGTTTTTATTTATTTATATATAATTTTGTCTAATATTTTACAAAAATCTATGTTCACATCACATAATAAATTATTTAAAAATGTTTTATATTTTGTTAAAAGCGAAAATAAAGCAAAATTTAAATTTAATGTTCAATCAAATGATTATATATTAAATAAATTTAATAATATGTCGGATAAAGATTTAATTGGATTTCATAATCATTTAATTGCAAGATTAAGAAGATCTGAATCAGATCTCATTAAATATATAATGTCTGACAAGAATTATATCAACAAATATAAAGTGAATTTTAAAGAAAAATCAAATTCATTGCCACCGAGTGTTGAAAACATTTGCGATATTGATATCAAATTTCTTGTAAAATCTAACGATTTTGATGTCCCACAAGATTTTATTCATCAAACTATTGATGAATTAATTGCATTCAATGATGGTATTAGTGTCCGACCAAAATGTGCTATAGTTATGAGTTCGGGATCAATGATTGACTCAAATTTAGGACAAGAAATTGATTCACACGATATAGTTATGCGTTTTAATAACGCGCCGACAATTAATTATGAGAAGGATGTCGGCTCTAAAACAACTATACGTTTACTAAATTCACAAATTTTATTAAATGAAAAATTTGGAGTTTTATCAAAAAATTTCTACAGAATAGGACTTAAGATTGTTTGGGACGCATCTGATTATAACTCAAGATTTAATCAATGGTTTAACAAAAGTAATCTATTTTTTAAATCTCATCAGCAATTAGTTGAAATGTTTGTCAACGAAACAACTGCTATATTAGATCCACACGTTATCTGGAAATCATGGGATTTGCTTCAGAAATCAACAGCAAATAAAATTCCTCGAAATCCTCCGACTTCTGGATTCTTAGGGATTGTTATTTTGCTTAATATTTGTTCAAAAGTCGATATCTATGAATATATTCCTTCAATAAGAATCAACAATAAATGTCATTATTATGATAATAATATAGACATGGGTTGTACTTTTGGTCAYTGGTATACTTAATGTCTTATAATTATCACAATTTTATATTATTCACTAATAAAAAATATTATTATTATTTTATTTTTAAGGCATCCATTATCTACTGAAAAACTATATCTKTTGGCGATTAAYGAATGTAATGAACGCGAGACTGTAATTAAAGGAAAAGTATCACTAAGAGGTTGTTCAATGGTTTTGTAAATCAACAATAATAACATCATATCTAAATGAAATCAATAAATGGTTTAAATTATTTTATAAAACACAATATATAATACTTGAAACAATTAAATAATTACTATTATATTTAATCGCCACAAATCATTAAAAATATTAAAAAAATTGATCACTACTGTAATTATTTTWWAAAAATTTAAGTTGTATTGAAATATTAATTTATATTATTAATAGTTAATTAATAGTAATAAGTATTACAATCTATTATAATTTAAAGCATCTRCAAYTTATTATTATTGTGTTAATGTGGTTTATACAGTACATACAGTATAACTGTAATTTAACAATCTATGAAATTACATAGAATATTGCAATCAAGAAAAAAAGTTTGTTTAATAATTRAAATTATAATTTAGCATAATTTTTCATTTAGTTCACTACGATAAAAATCAATGTATATGTATAATAAAATTTATAAATTTGATGAATTCATTGAAAAATATACTTAATTTRACAAATTTYCGAACATATTTTAATATTGCAAAATAAACTATAACTGTATGTTTACTATATAAATACTATTGTAATGTTAAAGTATCTATAATCGGAAATTTAACTATATTTTTCAATCAATTCATCAAAGTTAATAGATTTTATTATATATACACTAGAGGGAGGAACCGAAACGGTTCGGTTTTATAAAACCGAATGAAACCGGAACCGAAACGGTTTTTTCACGGTTTTGGTTTTTGTGTTTCGGTTTCGGTTCGGTTTCGGTTTCTGTCTTTATATATATATATCTCGGTTTTAAAAATGGTTTTAGATTTAAAACGGTTTTAATTAAAAACTGATTTGAGTTTAAATTAATAGCACAAATAAAATTATCTTTAGAAATACTGTTGTTAATATTATTAAATATTTTTATTTAACTATTATTACTTTATATTAATATTATAATTGCATTTAAAAAATAGTTATTTATAACTTTTAATTATTACTATTAATTATTATTTTTAATTATTTATTAACTAAAATTTATCTATTTTTAATTAATTATTAATTTAGTTATAAAATTATATTTATAAGTTTATATATTATAATAAATATAATAACTATAACTTATACTAATTTAATTCTAACCGTATTTTATAACAATAAATAAAAATATGAAAATCAATTTTTTAGATTTTAAGCCCACTTTTTAATTTATGTAAGATTACGGTTCGGTTCCGGTTTCATTCGGTTCCTAAGTTTTAGTTACGGTTCGGTTACGGTTCAGGATTTTCGGTTTCGGTTCGGTTGCGGTTCCTGTCTTTGAGATACGGTTCGGTTGCGGTTCCTAAAAACTCTTCGGTTCCCCCCTCTAATATATACATTGATTTTTATCGGCGTGTTTTCTTTCATATAATTAATTTTAATTATTTTATATAATTTGCATTTTTATATTTGTAGTTAAATTAATTTTATCTTGTTATTAATGTAATTTGAAGTAATTAACAATATATTTGTAATTTATATTATTGTACTGTATATAACATAACATTATTCAAYATAGAGGTCTAAACTATAGCCAGATTAACAAATTTTGACATTCAGGTCAGTAAGTATTAAATTTATACAAAATAAATATWATTATAATTATTAAAAAAAWCATATTTTATAAATTATTGTACAAAATTCTAAATACCGGATGGTTTTAATTATTTATTTTATATGTCAATGAAAATTAATTAAAAATTAAAACTTTAAAACAAGTTTAGATTAACTAAAGATACGAAACATTTTACTCATTTTCTTTGTCTTTATTTGTTTTACTCGAAGACTTGTGTGAATCCCAGAAAGAGTTGGGATCCGCTGGTTTCACACTATTAATGCGCGCAAAGTCTACTAAATCACGTTTCATGGCGTAAGCGTCCTCACCGTCCGCGTAATACTTCGGCTCAATTTCATTGACTTGAAAGCCCAATGTGTTTCGGTAAAGATGAAGAGCCGCGCGATTTGATTTGCGGACATGAAGTGAGACGTATTTGGCATTAAATGATTCAATCATCGCACGTGACGATTGGTCCATCAATTTCTGGGCCAAACCAAGTCGTCGATGGGATCGTTTGACCGCCAGTGATGTGATGTGTCCGTGAGGGTCGTCATCCGAGTCCTCTTCCATTTTGGCCAAAACATAACCAACAATCGCGCCGTTTTCRTCTTCGGCAACATATGAGAGTTGAGGCCACGACAAGCCGTGATAAAAGTAGTATTTCATCTGATAGTTCTCTGGCAAACACAATAGATTGCAGTGTTGCATATTCATCAAGTCTGATGGCTAACGGTTCCCATTTGTCATCAAAAATAATTCAAATATTATTATTAATTAATTTAATTATTATTTAGTTTACTATTGTATTCATTTTGATCCTTACTTTAGCGCAACGGATATTCATGTTGTAGTCGATTGTATTGTTTAGGTATTAATCAGTCAAACAATTGGTCACCAAATTAATGGTCAAATCAATTGATCATCAAATGTGTGGTCAAATCAATGTGTTTTCTATTTGTATTGACTTGTATYGAGTCACGTGACAACTGTTGCCATCAATTGACTCATCAATTATGTGTTAAATAAGACTAACATTTAATTAAAGTTTTAGTTTTGATCGTTAATTATAATGAATTTGATTGAAAATATTGATCAATGAATTGCAATTAAATCAAATCAAATCAAATGAAACTTTGATAGACGGGTGTGACTCATGTGTCTACTATTTATTAGTCAAACAATGTTTGAATTGTATTGAATAGTAAATACATTGAATGTATAGGAAAGGGTGTGTTTAGCGCAATGGCGTAATGTATGGCAAACTGTGAGACAGGGATGCAGTGAATCAGTGAATCAATGCATTCAATGCATTGCTATTAACGGCCCAACAATTGTCTCTCACTTTTCAGTCAATATACACAACATATTCACTCAAAATGCCGTTTAATTAAATGACTGTTGAATACACATTTCATTCACCGATAATATGGACAGTGATTACCGGTTGCCACCAATTGGACGGCTATAATGTGGTCAAAGTGTTAACAAAATTAAAAACTAAGTGTTTTTATCATTATTTTTAAAGTCTTAATTGATTGAAACTACTTTTAATTTTTGATTTTATCGGTAAGTGATGTGTTTTACTATAATTTGTTATTATGTTATAAATGATAAAATAATTGTATTAATTGTAATATTTGTTAAAATGATTGAAACATATATTAGATATAAAAATAGATTTATTTGATATAAATAGCACTCAAATATAGTGTTAAGGTTTGGGCGTTGTTTGTGCTCTCACTCTATGCCTTACATTACGTGATGTAATAAAAGGATTATTTATATATTAATATAAAGTAATTTAATGTCATATAAAGTACAGTAAATTTAYTATTAATATACTGTATAACTGTTAGTCTATTCAAAGGACAGGTATTAGGCAAATGTGAGTCATCGGCGACACAGGGATCCAGTGCTGACAATATTGTCTCAAACGTGCCTATAGTTGATAAGGTTTAGCACGCGATGCATACTATGGGAGACAACATATGATTGTTTGTACAAATAATAGTCAATATTGTCTTATATTATCTCATAAATAGGACTAACTGTGCAATAATGTCATTGATTGGTCACTGACTCTATTTGCTGGACATCTCATGTAATGTTGATTTCCCACAATAATTGACATCAATGTCTAATCCTATTAAGTGATGGTATAATAAATGTTTGATTACTCAGCAAATCAATACCAGTTAAACATTACTTTAAGGCATCAATCGATGAATATTTTAGTAATGACTTTGAAATAAAAACTACTGATAACTTATTAGACATTCATTACATCATTAAGGAAATGATTTAATCATTAAAAATAGTTTTAATATTAAATAATAAGATAATGTTTTGCTATAAAGTTGTTAATCAATTTTTTTATTCATATATTTGTTTGATTGTATAACAAGTTTGACTTGTATTAAAACATCTAAATTGTTTGCTATAGCATATAATAGAGTTTATTATGATATTAATAGGATCTGAAAATGTATTTACATACTAAAAGGTAGCTTTAAATGGTTTAAAACATTAATTAAATTAAACTATTCATCGCATATAAGTTTATAATTGAAGCAATTTATGATTTGATTTGAACACAAGTATTATTGTTTTACAATATATAATWTTTTTCAGCTAAAAGAAATCCCACACATTATTAGACCAAATAATTGACTATAAATATTAATATGAATTAGTATTATAAGGCCAGTTATGTAAAGGTTGTTAAGGGACAGGTGTGCTCTGTATCGAAATGCATCTATGAGTAAACATACCTCCCTTTAAAATAACAAAAGTTGTCATAGCTTTAGGCCATTAACTGATACTAAAGTATTTTTATTGTTAAAAGCATTATAATTCATACATTTATAAGCATCGCTCACACAATATCATACTATAAACCTTTATTAACCTTTATTTATGTTTCATCTCCTAAATAACAATAATGTATATATATTTTTATCACTGACATAACATTTTATTTAAAAGAAAAACTAATAATGTCTTTTTATTATTTATCTGATGACTATTTTTACAATTTATATTATAGTAAATGCTATCAAAGTTTTACATAAAATAMAGTAATAATAAAAAATAATTTAAAGTAATATTTAATATTATATAAAACATTTTATGATTGTATGCCACTCTCTAACCTTGTATTGCAATTGAATTGCTTCCTTACACACATTACTATTAAGTTAAATGTATTAAAATATTAGTTTATAGCCTATATATACTGTATATAGTATAGGGATGTATAATAATCGCATCTAACGATCATTTTTTGTCAAATGAAGAGATATTTTTAGATACATTGAATGTATTATTACTGTAAATGATTATTAAAAATAGTTSCGTATGAATGCAAATGTTGTTTAACATAAAACATTTATTTTATACTAATTTATAATAAATTGATTAAACGATGTTTTTTGGATATTAACTTTTGAAATACTTTTTAAAAAGCCGTTATTGCAGTTCATATTGGCTTCAGATCGACTAAATTATATATTGTTAATGAATCATCAAATTAATTGATTTATTTATTCACTAATAGTTTGAAAAACTAAATAAATTTTAATGTTATTTAGTATATATTGGAAATTTAATAAACCATTATAAAAATTATATTGCTGTATTTATTTCAAGTGTTGCTTAAATATTTGTTATCTAAATCCAATTATATTATACAATGGGATTGGTTTACATACTTTAATTAATACAATAATTTAATTGAAATATACTTTATCACAAACTAAAAGACTGTTAAATAGAGAGTATTATTTGTTTTGGTTTTTACTGTAATTTAAGGATAATATGATAACTTTGTTTCACATACAGTGAAATGTTGTGAGAATTTATGGCATTAGTTAAAGTTTAGTGTTTGTTATATTAATATAATATATAATATTGTACTACTTATAGGCTATATATAGTTAATTCAGTTGACAGCATATGATTAGATATTATATATCCCATACTGACTCTAAAATAACATTAATTCAATTTATTAATGTTTGGCTCCAATTGTTTTTAAAATATGTTATATCGTATACAGTATTTACACAAAATATATAAAAGCYTAATGATATGAAACATCCTCTCATTGCGGTTCACAATATARTGTAATAAAATTTTATAATAATTGYTTTTTATGTAATAATGTTAAACTTTGATAATATTTTGTATCTTATTATAGAAAAAATTATTAATACATTGAATATATTTTTTAAATAGATTTTACAAAACATGAGACAAACGATACTGAGTGGCAATTTTGTTTCAAACACTACAAGAATATACACTTTATATATATTTTTAGTTATTATACTTGAAATTATAGTAAATTTAGTAACAGATATACAATGTGTTCAATCGCCGCCTTCAATGATAAAGCAACCGATGCTTCCGGAGCAGCTCTTTCAAGTCGCACAGTCCAGTGATGAAGTTGAGCGACCATTTGCTTTGGAATGCGAAGCCAAAGGAGATCCCGAACCAACTTATCGATGGATTAAAAATGGATTGGAATTCAATTATGTTGCTTATGATAAACGAATCAATCAACAGCCCCGTAGAGGWACTCTAGTATTCACTAAACCTGATGGTGTCGATGAAGGTCTTTACCAATGCTTCGCTGAGAACAAACACGGAGTTTCGGTTTCAAACTCAGTGTTTCTTCGCAAATCAGAACTYAATTCATTTGCTGACGAAGACTTCAAAGAAGTGTTTGTCAATGAAGGAGATCATATCACTCTTGATTGTAACCCTCCAACCGGTTACCCAAAGCCTTCAATTTTTTGGATAATATTGTCAAATACCGGTGCCCTTAGAAGTATCAATAGTTCGCGTTTGACAGTYGATCCCGAGGGAAGACTTCACTTTTCAAACGTTACCAAACAGGACGAGTTTCTTGACGCYAAATATGCCTGTTCTGCCACTTCTATCTTTAGGACTGAGTATAAAGTTGGCGGTAAAACGATTCTTAAAGTKACTCCCACTGGAACTTCTGGACAGGCAAGTCATGGACCAGTAGTACAATATACATCTCCTCCGTCAGTTCCAGCTCTCAAAGATCAGAGACTGGAATTGCACTGTATTTTTGGTGGAACACCACTTCCTGACATAGTTTGGGGTAAACGGGGCAGTAATTTGGAGGGATCCCGGTTTACATTYAATAATTATGGCAAGAGTTTAGTCATAAATAAAGTAGACTTTTCAGATGAAGGTTTGTTTTTACTTAAAATTTAATMCAAATATAAGTATTTAAAAATATATTTWTAATTTTTACTGCAGGCGTATATGAATGCACCGCTAGTAATGGCATCGGTAGTCAAAAATCTCATGCAATGGAAGTGAAAGTGAGTTCAGCTCCGTATTGGATTGAATATCCAAATGACACGAATGCAGCTGAAGGCGAAACAGTTTCATTTAAATGTATTGCTTCGGGAATACCGGAACCAAAATTGCAATGGTTTGTGAATGGAGTTCCTATAGAAAAAGCACCGCATAATAACCGTCGCAAAGTTGAAGGATCAGTACTGATAATAAATGATTTGATAGAAACAGTGGATACTTCAGTGTTTCAGTGTAATGCATCTAATGTTCACGGATATGCATTCCGTGACTTTTATCTCAATGTACTTAAGCTGCCGCCCACTATCACTGAAAGACCCGAACCTATTTCACGTGCTGTTGTATCGCACGATACTTTACTCAGATGTCGGGTATTTGGTGCACCAAAACCCATAGTAAAATGGGAAAAGGATGGCCAAGAGTTAACAGGTGGTCGTTATACAGTGCTTGACAGCGGAGATTTGAAAATCAAAGATGTCTTAATGACAGACGCCGGCAGTTTTAAATGCAAAGCTACTAATCGTTTTGGTGATGACGATGCCAGTGGTGAACTTGAAGTTAAAGGCAGGACTAAAATAACACACGCACCCGAAAACTTTGAAGTGGCCGCACGTAAAATGGCTGTTTTCCGATGCAACGCTGAGGCCGACTCAACACTTGTACTAAAAATTGAATGGCTTTTTAATGGGAAAAAAATAGATTTAGATCACGACCCACGCATTGTTCAGGCAGCAGATAACTCATTGACTATWACTACTACTAAAGAACTTGATTCAGGTGTTTACACGTGTGTCGCCAAAACTGATTTAGATTCGGTTAGTTCTGAGGCCACTCTTACCGTTCAGGATGTGCCCAATGCTCCAGAAATTATTGGTGTTGAATGCGATGTAAACACAGCTCTAGTTGAATGGCAGCCAACCGGTGATAGGAGAGCTCCGATACTTAGCTATAGTATTCAATTTAATACAAGTTTTTCACCCGATAATTGGGAAGACGCTTTTGTCAACATACCAGCACCCGATACCAAATTTAAAGTAGCTATGAGTCCGTGGGCTAACTATACCTTTAGAGTGATTGCTCGCAATAARATTGGTTCGAGTGAACCAAGTGGTTCATCTGCCATGTGTTCAACACAAGAAGAGGTTCCGCATAGAAATCCCGAAAATGTTGTGGGAAGGGGTACAGCACCCGATAATTTGCTTATTAGATGGACACCAATGTCTCCAATTGAACACAATGGCCAAAACTTTTTCTATAAAGTATATTGGAAACGAAACGACATATCTAACGTTCCCTGGGAAACAAAAATWATCGATAATTGGAGGGAAGCGTCGTTTACTATCTATAATCAGCCAACATTTAGGCCCTACCGAATCAAAGTAGAAGCACATAATCGTAAAGGACAGGCACATATACAAGCAACTGAAGTAATTGGGTGGTCGGGTGAAGATAAACCAATGCAACCACCGATGAACTTTCGCCTTATAGAAATCAGAGATGCAAAGTCTGCTTTATTTTCCTGGGATCCGGTGTCACCCGATAGTGTTAGAGGACATTTCAAAGGTTATAAGATCCAGACGTGGGTCGCTGATGAAGACTTGAAACATATGCGTGAAGTAGCATTGCCTCCAAATGGCACGTCAGCTATTGTTACAGTATTGAAACCTTATGCTAAAAATTATGCCCGAATTGTTGTGTATAATGAGGCTTATATTAGCGATTATTCTAATGAAATAATTGTTAATACACCGGAAGGTGTTCCGGGACCAGTAGCTTCATTTGATGGCATTCCTTTGGGCTCAAATGCTCTCTATTTATTTTGGACACGACCTGATGAACCAAATGGTATCCTAACCGGGTATCGCATATTTTATGAGAAAGTTATTGGTACTGCATTGGAAAGTAGGTTAGAGCGTATACCAATAATTGATGACCCGCTCGTCACAAACGCTAGACTCGCTGGACTCGCACCTCAAACTAAATACAGAGTCACTATCTTAGCCACAACTTCTAAAGGAATGGGTGAAGGCTTTTATATAGAGCTGACTACTAAATCTGAAGATGCGGCTGAATATCCAGATAAGCCATCTTTTGAATGGTATCATCGAAAAGGACAGGACGGTAAAGAAGAACTCAGAATTCAATGGAATCCGACGACAGGGAACGGCAAAAAACCCGGCAGTTATTTCTAYGTTCAATACAGACTTAAAGGCAGCGAACGGTTCTTGAATACACCTAAGGATGAGAATCAGGATTCGACAGTCGTTCCTATCAGAGGTCTCGAAGATGACAAGACTTATGAAGTTCGCATCGTTGCTGTCGATGGACAGTACGAGACTCCCAGCGAAACCCAGGAGATCTCAGCCAGCGGTATCTTTACTCGTGCGTTATATCAAACATTTCAATTGACGCTTTGGTGGCGGAAAACTTATTTTCATTGCAGTCTTTTCTTGAATACAGAKTTTAATTTACCCATTGATTAGTCATAGATTAATTTAATTTAAAAAAATAATAGTTATGTTTATAATAATTTATAATAATAAATTATAATAGACACAACAATATTATATATATATCTTTATATGACCATATTTTTAAATTAGGATGTTTGCTTACAATTACATAACAAAAACACTAATATTTATAACTTATTGTAATTAAATAGACTAATAATTGTTTTGTTTGAATGCATGWTTAGGTCCATCGGGTGGCAATAGTACAGCACATTTGGCCAATTTTGCACCATGGTTTATTGGCATGATGTGCGCCATTGCACTTATTATATTATTAGTAGTATTAGTGTGTATTGTTAAGCGAAATCGTGGCGGAAAATATTCGGTTCACGAGAAAGAGGCCGCACAGGGACGMGAAGAGTATGATGAGGGAGGCTTTAATGAGTATAATAAACCATTGGGTGGACCTGGAGCTGCACATCATAARGGTAGTCGACAGTCACTAAATGGCAGTTTACAACAGGCTGAAAGTGATACCGATTCTATGGCTGATTATGTTGAAGACGATTCATCAAAGTTTGGTGAAGACGGCTCTTTCATCGGAGAGTATGGACCTAAAAAACGTAGAGACGAGGCTACCACTCCTATGACAGGAATTGCCACTTTTGTATAGCGATTGCAGTTTTAAAGACATAATTTRTATTTATTTCTCTTGACTGCCACTTGCCTTAAGATAACACATTTTGATGAAAAGCTTCATTTGTGACATTTATTGACCGTTTTTGGGATTTTACCGACAGATGTGAATCAACAATTAGTTTGTGATTTGTGTGACATTTTTTGAGCACATTTACCAAAAATCGCTTATATTTTTGTAGACATAATAACTCATTGTTTAAATGATTTGACAAACGTTTTTCTAATGACTATATGTTTGTCTCACCTTTTTATACACTAATTCCTATTAATGAAGAGCTACTAATCAGTTATCATTAAGTTGTTTATACATTCCATCCAAATATAACTGTTTGTTTCAAAACAATTTCTAATGTTTTAACCATAAAGTTTTAATTTACTATTTTAAGACATGTTTTTGAATTTATATTAGAGATCTCAATACAAATCCACACAATAGGAATTCAATGAAATAAGTTTTAAATATTTATAAACTTTTACTTTAAAAATGATAAAGTAATTCATAATAATTTTTAARTTGACTATAAATTATAATCTTCATATACAATTGCAATTGTAATTATCATTTTATTCATAATTTCATTAATTTTAAAATCTTAATTATAAATTATCAAAATCACAATTTTTATTACAAATAWTAWGTTAAACACACTTGTATTGAATCTAATTTAAACACTATCAGTGCAGCTATTGATTTATAATATATATATATATATATATATACTGTATATTTATAAAAATAAGTAACTATTGTTACATAAATATTTATTTTAAGTTAWTATTTGAAATATAAAATTAGGCACACATTTGTCTCAATGATTTATCTATATTGTCCACATATTATGGTGTTTATAGGGACGTATTAATACTAAACGTTTCATCAAATGAGTTATGTTTGCAACGATTGGTTATCTCATTATATATTATTTATGATAAGGCATTAAATGAATGTAATCTTAAAATAAAATATATAAATATATAAATTATTTAGATTTGTATATATATATATATTTATATTGATTTAAATAAATAAATTGTTTAAATGTTTACTTAATATAATACATTAAAATAATTAAATTTATTTATTTGAGAATTTTATTTATATTTACTTTTAAATAAATAKCAATTTCATAAGTTATTGTTATTTTGGTAAAGTATTAATGGGTAAATATTATTAAAAATGAGTCACTTATCATATAAAATAATAGCAATAATWGTTTTAAATTCTTATATATATTTTAAAAATTATATATTTTATTTGTTTATAATTGAAAAAAATGAAAAATTTACCTGACTGATTTAGATAACTTATAACTATTTTATACACAATATCGTTTAAAACTATTATTTTTTATAATTTAKTGAATTTAATTGAAATTGATTTCATGATAGCAATTGTATACATCTTTCAGTTATTGTAAAAATTTAAGTTAGAATACACTCAATCTTTATAATTATATGAAATTTATTGAAATAAAAATTAAATTGTTTAATAAGCAAATATCGATTTGTTTTCTATAGACATTACCGTACATTTGAAATGTTTTTAAGTTTAAGATATTTTTAAAATAACAATTTTACTAAAATGGAATTATCTGTTATTTTTTACAAAATTAAAATATCTGAAAGACATTTATTATTTGGTTTTATTTCATTTTATTAAACATTAAGCAAAAACAATTAATAAATACAATATACTAAAGTATTGATGAACTAATTTTTAAATAAATTAGRATTAATGATTAACAGATAAAAAACAATKGTATTAATTATAACAAAAAAGAGATTAAAATTAAAATAATAAGCTTTCCTCACTGTTGTTGTCGTCTTCATTAATATCTTTATCACTTAAACTTAAAATGAGATAATTTTTAATTAATTTTATTGGATATAATATATTGAATATATTTTTAATATAACTCACAACTCGTTTGATTCCATAAGAAGATCGTTGGGAACGACAGGAAGGAGACGACCAGTAATAGAGTTGTATTGAAATTGAAGTTTTAATAAAGCCATACAAAACTTGGATCCCATTTCTGTTAATTGATTAATACCCAAATGCATGCCATCATATAATCCCTGATCACAACCGGCTTGAGAGCACTCGAGTGTATAACACGCCGTAAGACCCAATTCTCGCCAAATGGTAATCCTGGCCGTCCTCTCTCTGTTCTCCTCGATATTAAACATACAGTTATTAAGACTAAATGCAGGCGCCGTTGAATTCAATAGTAATGGTAGAGCCATATGACTGCTATCGTGTTGTTTGTTTCGGTCACTTCTTTTCCATGACATCGACGGACAGCAGCCGTAAACAAAGATATTTTTACGTCGAGAGTGGCCGTGAAAGTCGACTAAAACTACTGGATTTGAATTGTTTGAAATATGATTTAAATATTTTATTAAAGATTTCATGTGATAAATAGTTGGATGCAATAGTGGATTGGGTTGACTCCATTGCCTATTCAGATCATCTCCCTGTGCGCCCGTTCGGGAACTAATAGATTAATATATAATGTATTTATTAATAAATAAAAACAAAATATTAGTTAATTTACTTTCCATTGATGACACCATCAGGATTAGACATCGCAACTATTTTGAAGACATATTTCTCCAATAATTTTTCTGCTGATAATCTTTCACTTAACAAAAAGTCAATACAACCCTTAATAATCCACGAAGAATTAGATTCTCCGGGATGTACTCGACCTACAAGTACTATATATTGACGCGATATTGAACTTGKGATCGGCTTACAGCTGGTAATAGTAAGCACCGGCACATCATTTCCCGCTAATGTCGTACATAGAGTTTGTTGACGAAAGTATATATTACAAGTGTTGTGACAATTCTGCCAAAAATGTATACAACTTCTTAAATATGTATAACTAAACGGATAATTGAAAGCTAAATAACAAATGTCATTATCAAATGGAAATTGTATTTTAAATGTCAGTGTGTAATGAGTTTTGCCATTCATTAAACTTGTCATTAAATTATCTTTAAGATAATGATTCCTATAATAAGCTATAGAATAGCCAACTCTTTTCCAAAATGGTTTATCACAGACAACAAACTCTTTGGTTGAGAACATGACTGGTCTTTGGCCTTCATTGTAAAGACTACTTTGTTTTTCACAATTAATTATATTAAACACATATTCAACATTTGCTTTCATATTACTAACTCTGAAGTAAAACCATTGAGTGTGAGAACAGGTATTGATGTCAGTATTTAGCAAAAGTATGTATTCATTAGAGGTTAAGTCGTTTTGAACAACTTTCCTTAAGTTTCCACTTTCAAAACGGGACTCAAATTGAAGTCTATTTTTATAATTAAAACACATGTCTTTATTTTCAATATCATAGATGACATATAAATCATTGTTTTTATGTTCAAATCGCTGTATAATATGCTCCATAAGCTTAATTCTGGTCGTCTCATAGTTATTGTAATCATCATCCATTGTCAACGGTTCCAACTCTTTGTTTCCAATATTGGCAGCCAATTCAGGTTCTGCTAAAATGACAATTGATTGAATACTTTTAGTATTTAAAGCCATTGATGTATAAACATGTCTCCAATCAGCGCTTTCCATAAAAATCTCTTTGCGTTTGTCTTCCTTAGAGCTCTCAATCATCTCTTTTATTGATTGATTCAAAGCCATAGTATTATCATTCAAATGATTAATATTATCAGTTATGTTATCAGAGTTATGATTATTTACAAAACAACCACAAAAAAGTGATTTAATGCTATCGATGCTATTTTTTCTTTTATTTGTCAAAACATTATTATCTATGTTATCATTGTCCACATCCATGTGTTTTAACTGTAAATCCCAACCAAAATCTTTAATTTCGGGAAAAAATTGTTTATAAGATATAACATTTTTATCGTCGTTTTCAATAGAAATGGATTCATTATCTAAATGATGGTCACATTCATTGTCTGAACTGCTTTCATCTGAACAGTAATAATCATAATTATTATTATAGCTATTAAAATCATTGCCATTAAAAATGTTATCCTTTTGTAAGTTATAATTAATAGTCTCATTGAATGGCAATTCAAATACATATGGATTATAATGTGATTTCAAAGGTAGGGATAAAGGTTCGGATAATCGTTGTATTAAAAGACTCGATAATATAAATACTCGATTCAAATACTCTGGTCTTTCAATTTGAGTCTTGTTTTGAATTATGCTTTTCATAAAAGTCAATACTTTATGATTTATAGATAAATGTATTAAATAGTCTCTACTATTCATCATATATGATAAATGCATAAATATTCCTAAAATATTATATGAAAATCGAAAACATTTCATTATATTCTTGTTTTTGTTTGATTTGCATTCAATTATAACTGAAGAGCAATTGTCAAATAAAGTSACCAAAAATGGTATATAAAGCGAACAATTCTTTAGTATAGATGTAATTCCTTTATCTAAAAATAATAGTAATTTTATTTATAAAATACTWTACATTAATTAATTTAGTAAAATTTAATAAAATTTCAAGTTGGCTAAAAATTTTTAATACAATATCTGCAATTTTTCATTACAAAATAAAAATATTACAAACAGCGAATTTATTAGAAAAATTGATAAATAAAAATAATGAAAGTCTTACGGCATCGACAAAGTATTGCTAAGACTTCAATGGCCTGAATAGCTGTAGAAGACATCCACTTCTGATCCGATAATATCTCATAAATTATTTTAATTAATTCATTCTCAGCGCTAATATTATCTTCGAGTAACTGATCGATGTTTTTAGTGCATAATATCTGTGCACACAATGCTATCATTAAATTTGAAAAAAACATATAAAATATGTGAGTAATAAATATTTGGTGTAAATTTTAAAACACATCAACAGATTATATATAWAAACAACAGTACAGTACTTACGGTTTTTAAGAAAATGTTTTAAATAGCAAAGTATTAGACTCAGTATTTTATATTTATGTCTATAGTATTGCATTAATGACAAACTCTTGGTTAACCACAACTTATGATTGGTATAAACTTTTTGAACAAATTTTTTGTCTGAAAATGTAATTTATATTTTAATATATTTCCGAAAATAACTAGATTTTTTGTAATTATGTGCTCATAATAATAGTAAATAATACTTTTATATCATATAAATAACACTTACGGATTGAAAGCTTATTTATGATATGAAAAAATGTCTCAATAATGACCTCTTCATTGTTTTCATTATATAATACATGTTCTCCAATGTGTATGAGATATGCTATCATTTCATTGTCATTGATAATCATTAAAGTCATTTCTTTGCGTTTATTAGATGATTGCAAAGTCAGCAATGATTTAACAATTAATAGACAGTTGTGATGAACTGTTATATTATTTTCGTAGACATCCTTTGAAATAAAAAATATTACAGAAATTTAATTAAAAAAATTTACAAAATTAATGTATTTTTAAGTGACTTTTAATCAGGTTATTAGTGACAAACATAATTTAATCCAAAAGGAAATCTACAAAAATAACTTTCGATCAAAAGTTATATAAAATTCCTAAATAAAAGTTCTTGAGATAAAAAGTATATTAAAATAAATAATAATATTTTCTTTTTATTAACATTTTGGAAACTATCCAAATCACAGCTCAGACACAAATGATTTGAAACATAGTATTATATAAGTACTAAATATTTGTATAAAAATGATTTCATGAAACTACCGTTTGTATTAAAAAACTATTACACAGTATTTAGTAGAATACAGTATAAGATAACATAAGTTAGTATTAATACTGTATATTATTTTCGAGGTTTAGAAATCTAAAAAATTAACAGTTGACAGTACTTAAAGTCACAAATTGTTTTTAGACATTATAATTGGCAACAATTTTTATAAATACCTGAATTAATGTCTTGACAGTTGATATCACTGTATTTATATCAAAGTTGAAAATTTGGTCTAAATTTGCTAAATACAAAACAAATACATTTTAAATATAAACATAATATTTAATATTATATAACTTTATATAAAAATTAATTGTTGTTATGCTTTTATTATATCAATTAATTAAAATTATATTTCATAAATATTTAATTCTTACCATTAATATTGTTGTCACAAATCATATCAATTAACTTTGGTTGACATTCAATGACTAGAAATTCATTTAAATGAGTATCACATTCACTTAGAGTACTGTTAGACCCGACTTGATCTGCATTAGACTCGCAGATATTCATTGCACACATTATAACCTTTTAGTATCAATTCATAAACAAAATTAGATTATTAATAATTGTGATATAAATTTTTATCATTAATATTTTATGTTTAATGAAATGTTACAACAAATATAAAGAATATTTATTATTTACAATATTCTATCGCCAAAGAGTGTCATATAATAAATAAAACAAATTAAAAAATATTCTTTAAATTATATTATATTCCAAACAATTTGGCACTTAATTGCAAATATTTTATTTTTAATAAATTTTTAGCTGTTTAATTAACAACTTAATTAAAGAGTTAATTATAATATTATATATTATTTACAACACAAAAATCATATTTATTATATATATATATATATATATATTATATCAATATAATAAAACTATACTATTCAACTAAAATTTTAAAAAATTATTTAATAAATTATTTATAAAAAATTGTTAGTAATTATTATTTGTAAAACATAACAAAAATATGAAATATCATTAAAAACTAAATTATGATACATTGCATAAAATAAGATAAAACGCATAATTAAAATAAATAAACTAAATGTATATAATTATTGCTTATTAACAATCATTTCATGAATTTCTTATATATATTAATAAAAACCATTCTTTCAAACACTTTATAAACATATTTATAATAACACAAACACTTAAAATGTATAAATGTTATGTAAAAACTGTGTTTAAAAGTATTTAAATTGAATTTGTTTTGCATTGGAGTCAATCTTACGCTGACTGTTACGTTACGTATGAGTCAGACATAAATATATATGTAATGAAATGTTTTTGAGTTATATTATAATAATCATAAAATCTCAGCAATGTTTCAATACTACAATTTCAAGGCTTACAATAAAAGACAATTAAAATTAAATATCAAATTGCAATATATTTTAAACAAATATAATATATATTATTTTACAACAGTAACAAAATATTATGTTTGAATTTATATCAATTAATTAATATAAAGTTAATTTAATACTTTGACGAGAGATTCCGTATATCAATTAGACATATCGTGGTTCTGTCTAATTGTCRCAATTTTTTAATTTCAATCTAAGATTTGGATAATATATTAAAAAGTAAAAAGATATGTTTTTGAAACCAATATACCTTTTATTTGTTAAGAGATATAACAAAATGGCCTAATATTAGAAAATAGGTATTCATTATATATTATACAATATAAAAGTTTTATATTTGCTAAGTTTTTCAACTCAAATCTAAGTTTCTCTAAACAAAATTAAAAATCATTTCAAGAATCTCGATTGGCAATGTTAGTTTAATATTTTCAACTAATCTTAATATATTATTTTAAATGACTTAATAATGTTTTATGTTATGAAATCTATTTTATCAAAATTAACAAAACTATTCACACGATACAAATGAAAATTTTGTTTATTTTAGTTTACTTTCTATTGGTTTATTTTGATACTATCTATTTATAATAACATAATATTATTCGTCTATAAAAAATTAATTATAATATTCAGAAGTGTGTTAAAAAATTTATATATAGTAGTTAACTTAAAATTATATTGAACAATTTAAAAATAAATTAGAAATATAATGCATTTTTGATGATTCAATCATATTTATCATCATATACTGTACAATATATCTAAATATAATAATTATTTTTAGTAATATCTTTAAAAATCATTGGTTTTACATGATTTAAAGTTTTAATGCATAGACATTATATGATCCAAGTTTTCAAGATCTATCCGATTCAAACACTTTATAAATATTATTTTATTCAAAATTATATAAAAATTATATACATTTTGTTCAATAAATTCAAAATTATTAATAATTAATTCAATTTTAATTACTATAGGTTTTAATATATGATATAACTAATTTTAAATTTTTGATCTATATTTATTGAACATAATAATTATTTTATAAAGTATGCTAAAACAGTAGTTATTATTTAAACACAAAAATTAATTTCAATTAGTTAACTAGTAGTTCATATAATCATTTATAAGTTATAATATAAACTTCGTTAAATTTTCTACACTAGTATCTCATTATATTTATACAGTAATACACAAAATTAGAGTTCGTATAAATATCCACTTTATGTCAAAATTTTCTWATTTTTATTTGCTTTAGTGAATAYTTTCTTAAATACTGTATAATAAATTGCGATGCGATACAGTTTTTATGCTATTATCCGATCCGATAATTTTTACCCTATTATCTGAACCGATGTTTCAAAACTGATTGTGTGTTTAAAATTGATTTCTAATTCATAGTCATAATAAAAAACAAATACATTTTGTAAATTCCGTTCAGATATTTATGTTATTGTACTGTAAATGTATTTCAAAAGTTATCACACTTTTATAATAAGCAAAACTTACTTATTATATGTTAGGTTAGTGACGCTATCATCAAATATAATATATGTTTGTAAATATATGAAATTATGTATGTATTGCAATTTGCAAATTGAAATACAGTATACTTTAAGATTGTTATGCAAATATTGTTATTTAAGTTGATATTATGATAAACTACTATACCTTATAATATGGCACTACTTGTACACCATTACTGTATAAAAYACACACACACTTAATATGTTACGATGTTTATGTTTTTATTGAAGTCTATTTGTTTCATAATTATTATATAATAAATACTGTTTATTATGACAATTATATAGTGAGTGAATATTACAATGATTGCAATATAGCACTTCACTAATTGCAATATTGTTAAACTAATGGATTAATATTAGGATAAATTTATACACAAAAACAGTACATTGAATGCAATGGTGTTTTAAATATCAATTACTAAACAATGTATAGAATATTCTAAATGTTTGCAATCGTTTGAATATAATATTCAATCAATKAATGCAGTCATATATAATATATAATATATAGTATATAATGTACAATATATTGGTATCTAATTATCTATATATACAATCAATGAGTGACATCTACAGTAGTTTAACATATATTTTATAATTACATGAATACAATGATTGCAATCATATAGAGGGCCACACAATCGTGATTAGGCATGTGTTGGCTGATGTGTACATTATATTGCTATTATAATACACTATAAATACCAGTGTATTGTAATACCGGTACTATTTATTTCAGTTTTGTCACTATATGTTAACTACATTACAATAATCGTTAAACACGTTGTCTGCTTTCAMKATCACAGCTAATCTAAATGTAATTATGATTTGAAACTTGAATTAATTGAAGACAATGTTAATTACAATTATTACATGAATTGATGGTAAGTTATTGATAATTATATTATATTATATTTGTTAGGAAAGTGCAGAACCAGCTCCAGCACGTGTACAACCAGCACGTGTTGGCGTTTCCTATATCTGCAAAAGTATCCGTTGAATCGATAAGTTTGTCATTCAAACAATGATTGATACAAACACTAAATTCAATGACAAAACATTATATTTATTCATAATTTGAATATAATTTTATTTTATTGTTTGATTAATGGATTTTATTATATATTTTTGATTTATAGCATTAATTGCCGACATCTTAGTTGTGAATGCAACCCATGTGTTGACCCAATTGTATGGTACGGTAGGTATAAGTRTAATGATAGACCTGTTTATCGATATTGGACTTAATTTAACACTAATTAATGATTTTTTCTTAATATTAATTTTTCTCAAATACTATATTTGTTTAAAGTAAAAATAATTTTATTTAATTTGTATGTTTAAAACTTTGAAATTAAAATATTTGTGTATATAATTAAAAAAATTAATAAAATATGAATTGTAATAATAAGACTTATTTTCTGAGAAACCAAATGTAAAGAATAGAGAGAGAGATAAGAAATGTGACACAAAATAAATTAAAGTTATATAAGAAATAGAGTATGAGTTGAATAATAGATATATCGGTAATATCGGTGAGATTATGGCCGTAGAAGTGTTTATTGAATTGGGTTAATGTGTTTGTGCCGATGTATAGGACCAGTGAAACGGCCATAAAGCGGATTAACCCGATTGAGGCCATACTCCATACCAAGAGTTTTGATTCTTCGTCAAACTCGATCTCATATTGAATGTCACTATAAGTTAGGATGAAGTGTGTGATGGCCTCTAACTCTATGAACCACATGTAAGCACCGATACGTCTAATCCATGGCCACAAAGCACTGTCATATCTAATGGCATCGCTTACAGGTATGACTGCTGTCGAGTATAGGATAAGCCATATATAGTACATGAGATAATACCAGTTGTCGTAGAAACAGAAGGACAGCCATTCACCCGACAACTTGAGGTATAATACAAGAGAAAGACTTATTAGACCCAAAAATATCAAATAAACGCATAACAGTTGCCATCCATTCAATGGTATACATGAAGACATCAATTCAACTACTTTTGTCACAAACGTTACTTTACTTCTTTCGACTGTTATGGTCGACGTCTCAATAGTTTGGTGATCACCACTTGAGTCCATTTGGATGATCATTGTCTCCATTTGATTGATAACTTATGGACAAACAAATTGTCTAATTGTTAATCTCTTTTAAATCTCATCAAAGAGTTACTGCTTTTGTTAATATAAAATATATTTTATAACAGTTTGTTATAATTTATTTCCAAACAAATAAAACATAGGTTTACGACATTTTTAATAAAATTGATTTACAATATATGAAACTATTTTATATCATTTTTTCAAATTTTATTAATTATAACCTATTTTGGGTACAATAAAAAAATATAAATTATTTATTTACTACAGTTAACTATGATTTCCATGAAAATAAATATTTATTCAAAACATATAATAGTAATTATTCTTATAACAAAATTTAATATCATATAAATATATATATATATATATATATATAACAAAAAACTACTTTTTCTAGAAATAAATTGTATAAACAATATAAAAACGATTAAATAATTGCAAAAATGTCAAACATTATGCCATTGAATTTGGTAGAAAATTATGATAAAACAAATATAAATTTTAAACATTAAAATTTTGAGTCTAATTTGAGATATTATTATAAATTATAATCTATGATAAATTAATATTAAAAAATTGATTTAAATATCAATAAATTATCAAATTTAATTACGTTTTTACATATTTTGATAATTTTTTGCACATATTTTATTACATATTCT